GCAGATGGCTTCCTTGCGCTTGGCCCAGCACGCCAAAAATCACACCTCGGAGGAGTACAAAAATTACAACTCTCAGATGTCCTCGATTGCTGGCCATGGTATGTGTGTACAGTCAGACCTCGCTCAACCGCACACATCCGTATTCCACAAAACTATCCGGATAGGCGAGGGAACCGGTTATGTTAGATGCATCACGTATGCTGTAAATCTGTAACCAGCTATTTTCTTCCGGATGGCGAGGGATCCGGATAAAAGAGGAGCGGATAAGCGAGGTCTGGCTGTAGTATGTGTGTTTGGTATGTTTGTGTCTCCGTGGCTGCATGTGCTGCGTGAAGGTGCCCGAAGAGAACAGAGGCAAGTACATTGTGACGTTCGATCCCCTTGATGGCTCCTCCAACATCGACTGCTTGGTGTCCATTGGATCTATCTGGGGCATCTATGAGAAGGTAAGGTGGTTGCATGGGTAACTTACTTGTACATTGCAGGTACAGATTTCTATGCCAAAATTAATATTTAATTCTGTCGACGAATCATTACTTCTCTGATCCTTGTTTGGAACTCATGTTCTGACAACCTGTTTTTGGTTCTTTTCTTGTCGTGAGTCATCTGCTGTTTGTATCTCAACGCTGTGGATGCGAAATGGAGAAATCCGGCAATCACTGGCTCACTCTCTTCTGATACCTGTTAGGACTTATAGCCTGTCATGTTATAAATTCTTCGCATCTAGCGAGATCTTGTTTAGGAAGGGGTTTGCTCCCACACTGGAGCTCGCGCTATTCCGCCGACTTGACTTGACACTTGCCTAGCGCGAGCGCGGGCGGAATAGCGCGAGCTCCAGTGTGGGAGCAAACCCATCCCTAAACAAAATCATCGCCGAAGTCGCAACCTCTATTTATAGTGAGATCATTGAAACAAAGTTAAATGATGGCCCAGCGGGGAAATTTTCCAACATGACCAGCACCTTATTTGAAGATGATCTTGCATCATTGCTTTTTCTGTCCTCAGTGACCACTTTGGCGGTAGGTCTGATCCACTCGCCTCCCACCACTTTAGGAGCTGCATGTGCACCTTGATCCTTTAGCGGGTGGGGGCATTCCTTCGGAAGCGGAAAAAAACAACTCGGCCTCTAGCCGAGTCTCACGCGGGCCGTGAATTTGTTTGCACCATTGCCAGCCCTCACGGCGGACCGTGATTGTTTTCATCATCGCCAGCCCTTTATTTGTTTATCAATGATGGCGTCTGCTCCCTCCAGAAAACACCCCAGATCTACTATAATAATATTACTAGTATTTGAAGATGATCTTGCATCATCATGAACCATGACATTTTTAGCAAAGAATAGGAGCAAGGAACTACAAGTTACGCTATAATGTCCACTAACACCACCAGTTATTTTAAAAACAATCACTATAGATTCATCCTTGGCTCTTCATCCGAGTCTCCATCATTACCAATCCTTACGATTTGTTTATCAATGATGGCGTCTGTTTCTCTCTCTAGAAAACACCCGGTCCGCCCACTAAGGAGGACGTCTTGAGACCGGGCACCGAGATGGTCTCCGCCGGCTATGCCCTGTACGGCTCCGGCACCATGGTTGTCATGTCAACTGGCTGCGGTCTCCATGGCTTCACACTCGATCCGGTGAGTACAATCATTTCCCGGAGAAAAAACGTAATTTTCTGGGAAAGGGCCAATACGTTGCTAGTTGTGGCTAACAGTCCGCCAAGGTAACGAGATAATATACAGTCAGATAGTCAGATGGTGGACTGTTAGTCATAACTAGTAATTTATTGGTCTTTTCTCTCTCTTTTTTTTACATATTTAAAAATATGTAAAAAAAAAGAATTATAATATTGGCTCACCATCCGAGTTTAAAAGTAATTTTCTGGGGAAATCTGATGCAACTTCTCAGCCCAGCCAGACCAACCCTGCGATAACATATGTGGAGTTTGCACTTTGCAGTCATGAAACAGTACAGTGAATGCGACATCATGGAATACGAATTCCCAATTGGTGAGCCCAAACTTTAGTGAAAACCCTCCCTTTTCGAATTCCGCGACCTGCAGAATATTTGTCAACACCTTTTGCATGTCATCATCTTGTCTTTCTGAGCTATTTTGTCAACACCTTTTGCATGTCATCATCTTGTCTTTCTGAGCTATTATCGTGTGCCGATTGTCGAGTAGGGAGCATAACTACAGTCAGACCTCGCTTATCCGGTCCTCTTTTATCCGGATCCCTCGCCATCCGCAAGAAAACAGCTGGTTACAGATCTACAGCATGCGTAATGCATCCGGCAATGTAACCGGTGTTCGGTTATCCAGTTCCCTCGCCTATCTGGAAATTTTTTGTGGAAAACGGATGTGGGCGGTTAAGCGAGGTCTGTCTGTATTCTGAAATGCTCCAACGCCCGAAGCGAAGGGTGTGCACTGTATTTCCCCAATTGTAGGTCACATCCGATTATAACGGTCGCACCCCCATTGTGAGGTCTTCGCCACTAGCTATGGTTTCAGTATGTTCATTAAGTCACGCTTGATTGTGAGGCGCACTCCCTCGTTTGACCTGGGGGTTTTTTTGCAATAAGGTGTGCCTTACCGTGAAACCTGTCTAAGACGACCGCTCAAGGGACTTTCAAAGTGTGGTCTCTGTAACCAGGTGGTCTCCTTATCCAGGGTCATTTGACTGGAAATAGCATCCCTTGGTTCTGGCTGCAGCGGTCCTCTGGGACATGTGGTCGCCTTATCCGAGCGGTCGCCGTGACAGGTTTTACTGTATATTCGGGAAAATACGGTTTGCTGCTCTGCACATTGTTCTGCATCGAGCACTCTCTTCCAGCTGCCTCGACGGGCTCTGTCTGTGTGTATTCGGAAATCGGCGTGGTTCCTGGCCTGGTACTTCCGAGTTTCGGGATTCTCGCTGATCATGCATGTTTGTGCTGGCGTGTGCAGTAAAGTCTGTGCTATTTTAAGTACAGTAAAACATGTCAAGGCGACCACTCGGATAAGGCGACCACCTGTCCTAAAAGACCACTGAAACCAGGATCAAGCCGGGAGGCTTTTTCCAGTCAAATGACCCTGCATGGATGAGGAGACCACCTGGTAACAGAGACCTCGTTTTGAAGCCGTCCCTTGAGCGGTCGTCTTACACAGGTTCAACTGTAACTTCTGTGCTGGAAGAGCACTTAAAAGAGACCAGTCATATCCAGCCTAGGTACTATAAGTCTACAAATTTTCAGCCCATTCAAATTTCGGCCTCCCAGGGCTAAAACACATTTTAGGCTGCAACAAATTTTCGCCCTGCACTGCTGCTGCCTGTATACGCTGTCACACTGAACCTTGCAAAACAAAATTTCGGCTGCAACCAATTGTCGGCCAAATGTGACCGGGCCGAAAATAGCCGAAAATAAATATGCGCCGAAAATCTGTTGACTTCCAGTAGGTGGCTAGCAGAGGTATGCTTGTGAGGGTTTATTTGAATGCGTAAATGTTAGCATGACAGCTACACCATTGCTCAGTGGTTAGAGCATCGCTAGCCTCAAGCAAAGGTCCCTGGTTCGCGTCATCAGGGTAGTGACGGTCAATTGTTCTTCCGACTTTTTTCCCCTTTTGCATTCCCTCAACTAGTGGGTATGTGTTCTTGTGTTGTAACTATACTTTTCTCCTCCTGCTCCCAGCCCCGTGTCATCTCCACACTCAGACAATAGGACGACGATAACTAAATTTAGAAAGACTGTTTATTACAAGACGACTGCGGAAACACAACTAGACATGACGAACTCAAGACGAAGACTGCTTTTCACACCACATGCACCAACACCACGTACACACGTCAGGCACAAAATAACGTACTAGAACACTTGTGTGTTTTTCTGCCCTCTCTTGCCCGCTCTCCTGTCTGCTTGCACGTGGTGTGCCTGTTCTTGTGCCGTGTGGTTTCTGCCCTCTCTTGCCCGCTCTCCTGTCCTCTTACACGTGGTGTGTCTGTTCTTGTCCGTGCAGAACATTGGCGACTTTGTCCTGACGCATCGCGACATGTTCATCAAGAACCGCGGCAAGATCTACTCGACCAACGAAGGCTACGAAAAGTACTGGGATCAGAAAGTCACGAACTACGTGCACTCCATCAAGTATCCCGAGGTATTATAGATGTGTATGCATGTGTGTGTATGTGTGTGTGTTGGGGGGGGGGGGGGTGGTCTGGAACAATAGTGACCTTTAGCACCACGTTGTTTACGACGTAAGCCTGACGTAGGGCCTTGTCCGGGTACGGGGTCATGTCGCGACGTAGGACGTACGTTCATCAGGCAACGTTTTCGACGTAGAAAAGGCCTTTTGTACGTTGTGGCAGGACGTAGGAATTTGCCTTTGCACTTGCACCAAGAGGGCAAGAGTTCGAAAAACGTCGATGTTTTTATGTTGTAGTTTTTGTTTTGTAACCCACGAGGTACGATCAATCGAGAGGCATAATTTTATTCTTTGCTATCTTTGTTTTGTGTTTCCGGTATCTTCTTCTCCGAGCAAATTTTGTTTCGGTATGGCTGCCGAAGACACGCAGACTAAGGCTGTGTGCCAGAAATTTCGTTTTGGAGCCAAGGAGGACATCAATTTGTTGAAAGAAGTAGTGGCAGCGTTGAGCGAAAAGCCCTTCTCTCGTGGCTCGCCGGCCTGGAACACTGTACTCCTGAATTTGGCAACTAACTACGACGCCGAATGGAAGCCGGTACACGTGCTCTCTCTCTCTCTCTCTCTCTCTCTCTCTCTCTCTCTCTCTCTCTCTTTCTCTCTCTTTCTCTATCTCTCTCCTTGAAGGAATAATTTTCAAAGTACAGTAGTTTACTAAAAAAGTATTTTCTTCCACATTTCCCGCGAGGAACTTTGAAGTCACGCGCGCCATTCTGCTCCGTTCCTGTGGCAACGACGTCGATCCATAATCATGTCTCGCTAAAGGCTAGCCAAGTATGCAAAACACGTATCGCGCACCCCGATCGACGTGATCAAGTACGTCAAAAGGCCTACGTTGTAACGTGGTGCTAAAGGTCTTTCTTATCCTTGACCCCCCCCCCCATGTAACATATTATATTTTGTAGGGCTTAAACGGTCACGGTTTTACCCCTGACGGTTAACTGCTAAGCTAACGGTCGGTTAACCGGTTATAACCTATAAGCCACGGCAATCCTGCGGACTCTTTTTTAACCGTATATTTGACTATACTCATTCAAAAAATGTACCCTATTCAGTACAACGCACACTTGTACATTCTCTTGCATGCTCATTCATACATACTCTCACACCAAGAGACCAGATATGACCGAGTTGACAGCCCAGAAATTGCGTACGTGTGCGACAGCCCGCGAAAGTGCACACTTTGCAACGACCTGATACTTGAAAAATTGACTGAAAAGTTACTGCGTAACCGTTATCTTTATCGGTTAACCGTTAATTCTTCGTAACCGGTCTGCAACCGGTTAATCGGACTAATCGTTTGAGCCCTAATATTTTGGTGTTTATATCTGTAACGATACATGTAATATTTGTACAACACTGTAGAGTCTGTCTGCCCTGGTCGTAGCGTGGTGTCTCTGGTCTCCACGGGATATGTCGAGTGATTGTCGACAGTAAGCACTATGCTCTTTCCGTCTTTTCTTCTTTCTTCTCGAAGGACGAGAAGAAGTCGCCCTATGGTGCACGCTACATTGGCTCGATGGTTGCGGACGTGCACAGGACTTTCCTCTACGGCGGCATTTTCCTGTATCCGGCCAATACAAAGAGCCCCAACGGAAAGGTAAAGCATTGTGTCATGTATTAGAAACTCAGGTGGTGAGCCACGGAAAGATTACTGTAAAACGACAAACTTTCGCGAGCGATTTACTTTCGCGACTTTCGCGAGCAGAGCCGAATCGCGAAAGTTTGACACGCGAATAAGAAATTTGTACAATCACACGTTTAGGTCTACCATGTGTACTACGTGATGCGTCGATGATCGATCGTGCACTGTCTGTACATGCACTGCACAGACTCTGGACTAGCGCTGATCGATGCTTGCACGGCTAAAGTCCAAAGCGCCCAGCTGTTGAAAGTAACGTACCAACACTAGTCTTCCAAGTTGTCGTTGGAGTACGGCGACTTGAACAGAATTGTAGAAGAGAATAAAACGATCGACTGGAGAATGTCTCAGTGTTGTGGAGAGTGTTTGGCCAGCTTGCTGTTGCGTAGATTTTAGTGTTGTACTGCGCGAAGAAGTCTTCTGAAGTTTATCGCCATTAGTATCGCAGTGGCTCAGCATATCGAGAGAAAGCCTTCCGATGATCCCTCTTCGAAAACGCCATCCTTTCTTGCAGTACTAGTACTCACCTTATGATTATCTTTGATTCCTTGATTCATTCTTTCATTCTTTGATTTCTTCTCTCATTCTTCGTGCGCTCTGCGTCCCAGCACTCCAAGACTTCGTAAAATAACAGTCTTGAAGATTTTCTGTGGAAGGTAAAATCGCTAAAATTAATCGCCGCTAACTGGTCCAGTTTGCCAAAACGCTAAATTTAGCCGCCGCGAAAGTTTGTCGTTTTACAGTAAATAAAACCTTTACTGTAAGACCAGTAATGTTAACGAACAATTAATTCTAAGGGGCCATCCGTAAATATGGATATTTATTTAGAGGGTTGAGAGCCTGTTCGTTTCTCGAAAAATATCGATGTACATTTTGCATGCGTGAGCATGTCCAGAAAAAAGACCACAAATATCGATACTATGTACCATTTGCTCGTTTCTCAGGGAGGGGGGGGGGGGGGGAGGGGGGTTGAAGAGAAACGACTAGTTTTCGTTTCTAAATAAATATCTGTATTTACGGAAGGCCCCTAACGATTTAGCGAATTTAAACAATTCGTTAACATTTGAAGTCACTATGTACAAAACAATATGTACATGTACAGGCATTTGCCGGTTTTGAGACAGAATTCGTTAAAATTTCACCTCGCTAACCCACACAAATCTGGAGATCGTTTACCTTCATTTGACGTTAAATATCTGGTCTTACAGTAAATTGGAAACGTGGAAACCAGCGGGGCACACATTATGCGTTACAGTCCATTCATCGGAAACTGGCCCGCTGGCTTTTGAAAGTCGGATTTGGGCCGATTTGAGGATCAAAAACCCACTTTAAATCTCAAAAATCTGGGTTTTGGATCTGCTTCTCCATACATTTTGCCATGGCATACCTGTCCTAATTTTGTAAAACCTGGCTGAATTTCTATTTCCCTGTTCTTGGACTTTTCTGGCCTCAAATGTGGCAAGGAATAATTGCACGGGTCACACAATGCAGGATGTACTGTTGTTTTCACGATATCTACAACTATGTGAGAGAGCCACCAAAAAGTTAGGGTGCCAGTTTCCAATGAATGGACTGTAGAGTCCGTCAACTGACCAGGGACATACATGTAGCTCGTACACATCTTCACGGCGCTTCCCTTCCCCTCACTGGAACTTTACGCACCTGAGCTTTCCAAGTTGGAAGGTTGTTGGTTTGCGCTTCGTAGATGTGTTGGAGCTAGGTGTCAGGTAGTTGGAAGTCTCAGTACCCTTGTCAGTTGTGCGCTTTATTGGCGCACTATCTGACTGTATAATTAGTACAGTCAGACCTCGCTTAAAACCGCACACATCCGTTTTCCACAAAAATATCCGGATAGGCGAGGAAACCGGATAATCGAACACGCATACTGTATGTATGCATGGTATATGGTGTAAATCGGTAACCAACGATTTTCTTCCGGATGGCGAGGGATCTGGATAAAAGAGGACCGGATAAGGGAGGTCTGACTGCATCTCATTACATTGGTGGACTGTTGGTCAAAACTCGTACCGTTTTGGTCCTTCCACTTTTACGTAATCTCGCCATGTCTGCATGTGTGTGTGTGTGTAGCTTCGTCTTTTATACGAGAGCAACCCAATGGCGTTCATGATGGAGCAAGCCGGTGGTCGTGCCACGGATGGTGAGAAGCGAGTGATGGAGATCGAGCCGAAAGGGATCCACGAGCGATGCCCGGTGTTCATGGGCTCGACGTATGACGTCGACGACTGCATGAAATTCCTGACGGCTTAGCTAAGGTCTGTACCGCCTCCGTTCATGGTGCGTTTGCCTGGCTCTACAGCATTGGACGTCAACATTTCCTCAGAGGTACACATTGATTACTAATTGCCCTTGCCGTCGTGCGTCTGCCCAGACATTGGGAGTAATGGTTGCAACAAAATGTTTTCTCCCATCTCCTGCATTCTCAGTTTAACGTTACCTCTCGATCATTCTCTCAAAGCCTCTCATCTTCATTTGCATTCCGTTTCTTGAAACCTTTGTTCAGTCTCTCCGCCTCTGTCTATCTTTTCTTTTGGCTATCAATGGTGAAACAAATCAACGGTATGCTATAGGTTGCAGTTTGCTCAAGTCAGTTAGTTAGGTCCGCAGAAACTGTGATAAGTTTTCTTCATTTTGTTATGCAAAACACGGAGTCCGACAAATTTCCTTGTTCATATTGCTGGGATTGTGTATGACATTGAAGGTGTGTGTGTGTGTGTGTGTGTGCGTGTGTGCGTGCGTGCGTGCGTGCGTGCGTGTGTGTACGGAGTATGTGGTGTGGCGTGTGTGTATAAAAAAGGAATGAAAAAATGAAAAAAAGAAAGAAAAAATGGGATTCACTGGCCAGTAAAGCCACTTCAATCAGCTGTGTGGTGGATACCAAGCTAAAATTAATGGCGGTCAATTCATCAGCCTTGCAAGCTGTTGAATGGTGTAATCCCAGCACAAGTTGCTATGTCTAACATAGCTGTTCGCTATCATCGCTTCCGCGATGGGCAGGTCTGAGGTGTATGTGTGTGTGTTTGGGGGGGGGGGGGTGTACGGTGTGTGTGTGTGTGTGTGTGTGTGTGTGTGTGGTACGCTACATGCACATGCGTGTGCATGTGTATACCATCATGCTAGTTACTGTCGGACTGAGTACAGAGTAGTGACAGCACTGATTATGTTTGCATGTACACGTAGGCAATGCTTTTAGACTGACAGCTACATTGTACATTGTAGGTGGAGAATTGAGATGCTGCCACGACAGGTCACAGCACACTACCGTACTGGCAATATAATGTTGCTGCGTAACGCGTAACGCAGGGGGGGGGGGGGGGGGGTGCGGCGTAACGCGCGACCAGGCTAGTGCGACAAATTTTCGTTGCGTTCGTAACGCGCGTCCGGCGGGGTGCGGCGATCTTTTCATTGCAAAAAAGGCTGAAAACTGTGAAAGCACGTGTACCGCGTGGTGAAAAGTTCAAAACTGGACGCAGCAGGAAGTCCTGCAATAGCAAAAAAAGGACTGCGGCAATATAGAAACCTGTGTAACGGCTCTTGTGCGACTTTGCATGTAACGCCCTGCGTGCGGTAAACATGTGCCAATGTAACGCTTCATGGCCTCACTGCGACCATATATATTGCCAGTACGGTAATCCGAAGACCTCTCGGGGGGGGGGGGGGGCATGTGCGGCCCAGGGGTGGGGGGGGGGGCATGCGCGGCCCAGGGGTAGGGGGGCATGTGCGGCCCAGGGGTAGGTTGCACAGAAGCCCTCCTGTTAGGCTGAACCGCCACAATCTAAAAGGACCGGCAATGAACTCCAATGAACGGGTTGCAATCACTGGCACGTACAGTTATGCATGACTGAATTGTACAATCATGTACAATGTCAATGTACAGTGCTGGCAACTGAAATCCGACCCCCTTGGCGGCCCGGCGCACCGCCAAGGGGGTCGGATTTCAGATTTCAGATTTCAGTAGCTACATGTAGCTGACCTGGGCAGCACTCAAGTCTACAATTCATGTACAGTGCTGGCAACTGAAATCCGACCCCCCCCCCCCCCCCCAGGCGCAGCACGCCGCCGGGGGGGGGGGGGGGGGTCTCGGATCTCAGTTGCCAGCACTGTACATAAGTCATTGTACATTGTATGTACAGTAAAACCTGTCAAGGCGACCGCTAGCTCGGAGAAGGCAACCCCGGGCCCCTTTCTGTTGAGTCGACAGTCGTGATATCTTCCAGTAAACTAATAAAAATGTTACTTTAGGCCGAGTAAAAAAAATTACTAGATGATCGTCCTTTTTTTTGGAAAAATCGGGGAGGGCGGGAGGATTTTATTTTTATTTTTTTACTTTTTACCCTCTCATGCACACAGTGTACACAACAACATCAAGGTTTTTTTTCTCTTTTTTTCTTTTTTTTTCTTTTTTTCTTTTTCTTTCTTCAGCAGATCGATACTGCACTGACGTTGTGATATACTAGTAGTAGTATGTGGTCCATATAGTAAAGAAAGTATTAAAGGGGAAGTATACCCTAAAATCAAATTTTCACCAGTTGTAGTCTTCGGGGTGCTGAGTCGAATGGTCTTGGTCCGAGGAAGCTGAGACGCTCCCTTCCTACTTGAATCCCAATCGAACTCGCGCACTTCCACCGAAACTGGGTGACTGCGCCCTACTAGATGGGGATTTGTATGCAAAATGTCACTAAAAGCGCCATTTCGTTCTTATAAAAGCACGGATGACCGCGATTGGCCCATATGTTGTAGTCTTTTGGACGCTGAGTCGACTGGTTTTGGTCCGAAAAGGCTGCGATGTAGCGTTCCTCCTTTATTCCCAATCGAACATGGTTGAACAAGCGGTCACGTGCTCCTGCGTACACCAGTCACCTGGTCACCGTGCCTGCAGGGTACAACTTACTAGCCTGTTTGACCTTTTTTGGGTGCACTCCTGTCACTCGAGTTGAACTCGAGTTGAACCTTGGTGTGAAATTTGTCGCCTGCTGGCGTGGTGACCAGGTGATTTGGGCACCCAGGAGCACGTGACCGCTTGTTCAACCATGTTCGATTGGGAATAAAGGAGGAACGCTACATCGCAGCCTTTTTGGACCAAAACCAGTCGACTCAGCGTCCAAAAGACTACAACATATGGGCCAATCGCGGTCATCCGTGCTTTTATAAGAACGAAATGGAGCTTTTAGTGACATTTTGCATACAATTCCCCATCTAGTAGGGCGCAGTCACCCAGTTTCGGTGGAAGTGCGTGAGTTCGATTGGGATTCAAGTAGGAAGGGAGCGTCGCAGCTTCCTCGGACCAAGACCATTCGACTCAGCACCCAGAAGACTACAACTGGTGAAAATTTGATTTTAGGGTATACTTCCCCTTTAAACAAAGCGTGCACATGTTTCCTGCATCCGCGATCGGTAAAAAACCAACGATTTCGGCAAAAACTCACGATTTAAAAAATAAAATATTTCTTGGGGCGCTGACAAAAACTGGGGCGGACGGGGACGATCATCTAGCTTTTTTTTTTACTTGGCCTTAGCCTCTTTTTTTCTTTGCCGTCTTTGTTTTTATGGGGGGATGAAGTAAATGTGCCAGCATTGAAAAGTTGTATCCTCTCTTGAATAGTGCCTAGTGCAGTAGTGGCCTCTCTTGAGGAGTGCCCCATCTGTGATGGACATTGAAAAGATAGTGCCCCAGGGGCACTAATCGCGCGAGTACCGTATTCTTCTCCAGTCAAACAGCTCTCTACGACTCTAGTCTAGTGTCGCGTTGTCCCTGATGAGTGATGTGTTATCATTACAGACATGATCTACCACCCGGCAAGGCAAGGATCCTCCGTTCTGGTGGGGCGGGGGTGGTGGTATGATTGTTTGGCTGTCATGGCCGGCTGTACGATCGTACCGTCCTGGCTTACTAAGCACTGTAATCAGTTCTTAGTTTTTACGGCCTTCAAGTAAAGCTCTAAGATAATTAATTTGGCCATGTGCGGCTTGCTGTTGATTTATCGCTCTTATCTCGGCGGAGACCCTAGGCCTAAGGTTGGCCAGGCAGTCACCTGTACATGTGGGAGTCGTTGTTGGGCTTTTAGGTTTTACCAAGACGGCAAGAGTAGATCATTGCAAGTAGATCTACTGTGTAGTCTATGTACTCTTGGTTTTACTCAGGATGCGCGCTACTCCGCTAGTACTGGATGGTGAGCGATGGATCACCCAGGCCAGGGAATAACAGGACTCGTACTCCACTGGGCACTGTACCATGGCCATCGCTTTCGAGGCAGAGCCTACACCGCTGCCAGAAACTAGATACATGTAGATACACATGACAAAGTCATGTTACTTCATCGCTGACAGTGATACTACTCTGCTGCTGGGCTTCATCAGCGGACAGCGGACATCAAACATCTCTTACATGCAGTTCCCTTCGGCTTCTCTTCCTTTGTGGCTTTTACTTTGTCCAGGAGTGTAACTATTGCACAGCAAGGAAAATAAAACTCAAGAAGGCGACTTGAAGTACCAGTTCACGAAGCTACAAGACAACAACGATGAACATCACCACGGCACAAGGGAAGACGACTCCACTACCGGTAACTACATGACCGTACTTCAGAAGCCGCCTTCGCTGAGTTTGAATGCAACATCGTCATCTTTTTCTTGCACGATCGAGTCTTGCCAGTTTTGTGTGACGTGGGCCCATTCCGAAATGTCCTAGATCCGCGGGGGTACACCAACGTTTTATCTATAATCTGATCGGGTTTGGTGATTTTAATTTTTTTAGTAGTGTCAGAATCATCAGATGCGGAGATTTCGTACACCTGGCCACACATGACACTGTATGCAGCAGGGAGTCGTAAAATACCGGTATTTTACGACTCCCTGGTATGCAGTGATCACTGCCACTGGTGATCACCATGATCACTGGCACTCCACTGCCACTGGTATGGTCGCTTGCTTCGCAGAAGTCGCTGCTGACTGGTGAAGCCAGAGAAGAAGACAAGATAGGATCTAGGAGAGCCTGCTTTTGTTTTTCCACCTGGTCCTTGCTCACCTTGTTCTAGTCATTCTCGTCTCAATTAGTTCTCAACTGCTGCCGGTACCGGCTAACCAGTTTCTCGGCTGGCCTTTAGTATTCAATAGTTTTATTTTACTTGTTCGCCATGTCTCGCAAACCACCGCCACCAAAGCCCAAGCACAGAGGTGGGTTTGTTGTCCCCAGTTCTCATTCTCTTCCTGGCCGTGGCCTAAATTTTTGGTACCCTCTGTCGGGCGAATGCAGGATCCGTGGAAGCCGTCTATCGTGCTTCGTATGCTTACCAAGCACAACGGGTGAGTTGAGCTTTCTCGCACTCTCCATTACTAGTACTTTTTTTGGCAATTTCTCAAGTCCTGTTTTCTTTCAAGCAAGCACATTTTGATCTTGTGGCAAGCCCATTTTGGATTTACTTCTCTTCTCGATGTCCTGTGTTTGTATGTTACCTATGTTCAACTGTAGCCCGATGAGCTGTCGTTCGATGAGGGTGACATCCTTTACGTTCTGGAGAAGGTGAGGTGTAGAAAGCTCCCAAAAAATTTCCAGGCTCTTGTTTCCACAAATTTCGTGGTACAGTTCTCCCCATCTACTCTGCTCATCATGCATGCGATTGAACAGTCATGGTTGTGCTGGCCAAAACGACTATGTGGGCGTTGTGCCAGTTGTCTACCCCGCTGTAACATCTTTGGCCGCGTGTCGATGCCATGCTGTGTCGGCCTGCGTTGCATGGTTCGTGTTTGCACCGAAGCCAAACTGACTTCGACCAACTGATGTGATTGTTTTGCAAGCGAAGCACGCCTCACACATGCACGCATATCTACACAAGCAGTGGCAGTAGAGTGTCATACTCCTCTTGCTAGACGTTCCGTTGATAGATGGTTTGAGGACATCTCGCCATAGAAAGCTACAGCCAGCCACATAACTGGTCTGTCAACTGAAGTGGGGGCTGAGTAGGCCTAGGGCTGAGATCTGCACTGACTGATGACTGCAATAATATGCACTAAGTGTGGGCTATGTGGATAGAAGATCTGTGATGAACTCGGCAGTGAGTGAATAATCCATAGCAAAAATAACGATAAATAAGATAAATTGTGATCTGCACTGACTGATGACTGCAATAATATGCACTAAGTGTGGGCTATGTGGATAGAAGATCTGTGATGAACTCGGCAGTGAGTGAATAATCCATAGCAAAAATAACGATAAATAAGATAAATTGTGCACTCCTAACAACAGCAAAAAATGAAGAAAGTCAAGTTCCATAACGTTTTCTTGTGACTTTCATCAGTGGAACGCCGTCACATAAAAATGTAATAACTAAAACACACATTTATATCATGTAGCTAATAATGGTTTCAGGTAGAAATACAGCAGCCAGCAAGTACAAAAAGCAAAGTTTGCACCTTTGCAATGTTTGCACCTTTGCACTATATTCACACATTGCAAAGGTGCAAACTTCGCTTTTTGTACTTGCTGGCTGCTGTATTTCTACCTGAAACCATTATTAGCTTCATGTATATAAGTGTGTGTTTTAGTTATTACAACATTTTTATGTGACGGCGTTCCACTGATGAAAGTCACACGAAAACGTTATGGAACTTAACTTTCTTCATTTTTTGCTGTTATGAGTGCACAATTTATCTTATTTATTGCCATTTTACGACTATTGTCTCCTCGTCGATTGTTTAAAAATAACGAGCTATTATATGATGGCTGAAACGTATCCTGTCCCCTTGGAATAACGTAGACAAAATTTCTAGTTTCAATGGAGAGAAAGGGGACTATTCCTCCCAGGCAGTGAGTGAATGGGTACAAATTATTCTGGTCCCTATAGGACAAATGCGGACAAATTACTTTATATTCCATGGGAAATTCCCGGGGTGTGGATCATGCCAGGACATTTTCTGCAGTATGATGACATATCTGCAGCGCTTTCTGCGAGTTTTTCGCCATCCTCGTAGAGGATATAACAGCATAGTTACACGTAGGAATAGCATGCCACTATCACTTGCCATCACAAATTGAACGGTCTCGCAGGCACCTGTAACACAGCTTTACTGGCAAGCTGAATGCGCTCGGCTGAAACGCGAAACCGTGTACTGATTACGCTGGCAGAAGCTCAGAGTATGCGGATTACTGTGATTTCTACTGCAATCACCGCGGCGGCGGCTTACTCGCATTCCCCAAGGGGACGGCCTATCAGAGAATAAGCCGTCGAAGTCTGACATCTGACGTCACAGCTTCTTGACAACGCGTAGTTACTTGGCCAAGTGGTGACAAACAAAAAAGTCGCGTCGCCTGCACTTGTCGTGTTTCCAGTGGCAGCAGCATGCACTCAACACAGCTACAGCATCATTTTGACTGAGGAGCGTGGGAGAGATTATTTGTTTCAAATCAACTGCTACTTGTGGCCAAGTTTGTAGTTTTTGCTTTGTAGAGAAGGAGAAGCCGTAGCAGATTTTTTGCTTTGCTACTGCTGTGCCTGTACTGTCGTTCGGCTTTACATGTAGTCGCCGGCCAAGAAACACTGATGGGTGTTTCTGTTATTTCTATCGCAGCGATCGCTGATTTCTTTTAGTTCTGAGACCAACCAACTCTGGGCTCGTTTCCTTGTCCAGCGGCAAGCGAAAATCAGAACTGCTATCTCTCAGGTGCTGGTGAATGCTCAGCAGGAAAACACTGCACAATGGCTTGAGAGTGAAGGAGAAACTTCTTGAAGTAAAACGAAATTTGAACTCGCGATCTTGCACGAGCGTGCCCCAGTCAAAGTGATGCCGTGACCGTTGGAAACACGACAAGCGCAGGTGACGTGACTTTTGTTTGTCACAACTTGGCCTTGTAACTACGAGTTTTCAGGCAGTTTTCAGGAGTTTTCAGGCAGCGTGACGTAGGCACTTCGACAGTCTATATTACTATGTTATTTAGGATATCTAGATTCAGAGAGCGGTGAGACGGCTTTAACCTTTTGAGCACGACGCTACCTGAATGCCGCCCCACGTCAACACCTGCAAAAATCGCGTTTTTCCTATGAAAGTAGTAGCTGTTCAAGGATTGATAACTTTACCTTCCTTTGGACGAATTCCACGATCTTGAGCTTCCTGCAAAGGTCTTGAGGCGAGGAACAAAATAGTTCCAAGCTCAGCTCGGAGCGACACCAAAAGCCCATGCTACAGTCTGGCAAACTTCACGCACGCGCTCGACAGACTTGAGCACGGCCAGGAGATCAAATCCTCAGCTGCCATTTCACTCTTCTTGCTCGTATCGAGCTCAAATTTTTTTTGAGGACTCCCCAGATCCTCTGCCATCATTTGAATCTAGTTTCCATGGCAGCAGATAGCGCGAAAATGATCGAAAATGGAGAATACGCGTTCTGCAGAGTTCGCAAAAAAATCGATTTGAATTTGCCGTGTCGAGTCGCATATCTCAACAACCCGGGGTCGTATCGCTTCGGCGATTGTTTCTATCGCAAGCTGAGAGTTTTCTCTTGCAGATACATATTTCGATCGTGAGAATCGGCCAAGAATTGACCGAGTTACGATAGTTTGAACTCACGCGGTTCATGCAAATCGCGTTTGTACGCTATGTACACTCACGACGTAATAATACGTCATGCGTGGGTGCAGTGACACTGTACGTGACGTATTAATACGTCATGCGTGCTCAAAGGGTTAAAAATAGGGAGAAAAAACTCGGATCACGCTCATCGCGCAGCTCACGTGACCGCTGCAACTGGCTGGAAAAGTTAGATAAGCTTGGCTCGACCTTTGCAGTGCGATCTATGATTCGGATGCTAATATGGGATTCCTTGCTTTTGCATGAGTCTATAGTTGTACGTTGAGCGAAGGAGTTGCATGTGGATTTGTACACGTTGTACTCAGCCATGTTACGTTTCGGGTGGGTATCGATCCCCGACTGTGTCATCGCGCAATGAGCTAATACGGGTATGTCTACTTGGCTTTTACTTTGCTATCTGCGTCATGTTCAGGGTGCCGATGGATGGTGGAAGGCGAAAGTTGGCGGCAAGGAAGGATTTATCCCCCACAACTATGGTATGTGATGTGTTACGTTCTATCTGTCCCCACAGAATAACGCGGACAAAATTAATCCTAAAATTACGCGCATAATTATGCGGGCGAAAACAGGCCATTATGCGGCAAATATGTGGTATGATGCAGTCCTTATGCACCAGTTATCTGTCATTTGTACAACTTTAGCGTGCAGTCTCATGCAAGTATACACCTTTGTCGTACAAACTCCTGCACCGGTATGCGTTTTAGTACATTTTCAACATCAGGTACTATTTTCTTGTACATTCCCATGAATAACGCGGGTTTAATGCAAAATGTATCGAAAACGCGGATGAAAGCCAATCACGTGGAATCGCGGTATCCTGTGGGGACAGGTTCTATGTTTGTATGTGCGTGCATGTGAGGAAAGACTAGCAGCGTGCGTGCGCCTGTGTGTAGTGGGATCATTTCTAAGTCCACCCAGAGTTTGGGGATTGGCCATTTGCCAATCGAGTCACCTTTCCACAGCTCCTGTTAGATCTCCCTTCCTGAGATGCCCACTTGACCAGGTTCTGGGAGTCAGCACAAGTACAAGTCTGTGTGTGTATGTTGGACTCTGTGATCGTGTGAGAATGCTGCGTGCTTTGCTTGCATCTCGTTTATCTTCTGTTATGGGCCTTCACTCTTCTCGCTCCGTTGCTGGACGGCAAGATTTTCAAATCTGTTTGTATATGATGTGTTTCTCTCTCTCTCTCTCTCTTTCTCCCTCTCTCTCTCTCTCTCTCTCTCTCCCCCCTCTCTCTCTCTCTCCCCTCTCTCTCTCTCTCTCTCTCTCTCTCTCTCTCTCTCTCTCTCTCTCTCTCTCTCTCTCTCTCCAGTCTCAGAAAGTGCCGAGACAATCGACAATCCAATGCACGAAGCCGCAAAGCGTGGTACGTATCGATGTGTTCTTCTGGGAAGACATGTCAAGGCGCCTTAAACTTTTTCTTCTTTTCTTGCAAGTTGTTCTAGCGTTGGGTACGAGGTTGACAAGATGCAATGTAGCACTGTGCTTTGGTTGACCGTACTTGTGTGCGTTGTTTCCCATTGCAGCCAATTTCCAATTTGTGAAGGAGTGCATCTCCAACTCCGTGTCCGTGAATGGCCTGGACAAGGCTGGCTCGACGCCGCTTCACTGGGCTGCACAGTGCGGCTCTGAGGGTTAGTGTTATCTCTATCTTTTCGCACTGGTGCATGCACTCGAATGTCCACACGGTCGCGTGCACACGCGCACATACACACACTATTCTTAGGCCAACGTGTCGGCTGACTGAGAGCACTCTGGCTATGGACTACACCCGGCTTTTCTCGTATTACGTGCCCTCTACATGTACACCAGTCGATGCATTTATCCTGGCAAAGGTGATTGTTTTGTTGCTTGTGTTTTGGATGCACCTTACATGTGTAACCCCAGATCCAGCCACCTTCTGGGGGTTTCCTCTGTCCCAATTTGCTCGGGTATTGGGGAGTGGCAGATGTAGTGTGAAAGGTATTGAATGTGCTGGCATGTCCTTCTCTGATGTCAACTGCAGAGATTGTCTCGCTGCTTCTTGGTCAGTCTGGAATTCAGATCAATGTACAGGTGCGGATGTGCTAGCTCTCTGCCTTTGCCAAACTGGCTTGTGTGCTGTGTCTGTTTCTCAGCCTCTCTCTATCTCCCTCACACATGCACACACACACACACACACACACTCAGCCTCTCTCTCTCTCTCTCCCTCCCTGAAACTTGTGTGAGTATGTTTGTTGGCGCGGATGGCACGAGACATAATCATTGGGTGTATGTCAAGTGCATTTGCACGGTTGCATGTTTGGCGTTTCTGTGCTATCAGCTCACAGTGCATGCCGCAGTAATGGAGGGTGTATGTATGACCTGCTAGTACTCCTACAACATGGACAATGCCCCGGTGCAGCATCATGTTCAGAGCAGTATCTCTTTGGAGAACAGACTTCCTGTTATGTTGTCCTGTCAAGTGAACTGCTCCACATCAGGCATCATGATGCGTGTCCCGAAGTCGTGGGGTTTGGTATAAAGTGGCCACTATTGAGCGTATCACATGCGGCCTGTCGTTTTTTCTTCTCTCTTCTCTCTGCAGAATAAACTAGGAGATACACCGATGCATGCTGCAGCATGGAAAGGCCATCCAGGTGCCTTGAAGCTGCTCCTTGATGCTGGTGAGTTGTACCTTTACATTTTCGCTTTATACTTTGAAATGTATGTATTTTTATCATTATTATTTTTTTATTTTACTAGGGTGTTTCCCGTGTAGGACTTGTTTTGTCCGTAACCAAGAGTACATAACCCCCCAGAGTGTGCAACTCCACTATGGGTGCTGTCCCGACAGAATTTCAAGTTGACGTCATTTTGATGATGCAATGCGCACTGTACACGGATTATCAGACGAATCCGGAACCTGTGGTTGACCGAAGCCGATCGATCCTGTACAAATTATTGGAAAGAAAAACGTGTGATGCGTTGACACCCGTACACATGTTGTAAATCACTGGTGCAAGGAGCATTGCGTCATAAATAATGACGTCAACTTGAAATTCTGTCGGGACAGCAAGGTATGTGGGAGTTGCACACTCTGGGGGGTTATGTACTCTTGCCGTAACCGATCCATGGTTTTCATAGTACATGTAAACAAACAAATTGGTTAGGGGCGGTTGAATTCAGTGTTCGTTCAAATCATATTGGATCTGCATGGAGCGTACATGCTGCACGTGCAGCATGTACATGCGCTTGCATCTAATCTTTTTACTTTGCTGTTCGCTGGTACGAAGGTTTGCCGTTTTGGATTAATCTTTTCATAAATCTGTATAAACCCTGGATGATTGCTGAAACACTGAAATTTGTGTTTCTTTTTTGTGTTAAAACCTTGCCAGCGAGTAGTTGCTGACTGGGCCACTGCTGGCTAGTGCTGTTCTTATCATGCTTATGTACTTGTTGTGTGTTGGACTGTGTGTTGGTGTGCAGGTGCTACTAAGACCCTGAAGAACCAGGAGAAGAAAACACCACTGATGCTTGCTCGCAATCCCGAGTGTGCCGCTCTCCTGCAGGATGCACCGAAAGGTCAGCGGAATGTAGCGCACCTCTCTCTCTCTCTCTCTCTCTCTCTCTCTCTCTCTCTCTCTCTCTCTCTCTCTCTCTCTCAGATTGCTGCAATGTTTACCATTTGTATTTCCATGAGATTTGCTTCCTCTATGTTGTCAATAGATTGGACTCAAAACCCCAGTTGTGCGCCACTGGACCAGTACTCTGGGGGGGGGGGGGGGGGGGGGGGTTTAAGAAAAAAAAAGAAGAAGAAGGTAGAATAATGGCAATGTCATTGATAGGTTCATTGGTGGAGTTGGATCCTCGTACTCCTTTGCCCGCGTAGCCTACTTCTGACCCTGACAAAGCCCTGCTAGTCCTGGCTCATCTGCACAGCAAGTATAGAACAGCACTTGCAAAGTTTAGCACGCATGCGTGCATATCTGACTACTCGTCGTCGTATTTGACCTTGAGTTCCGGCCTGGCTGCTAGGCGTTCGGATAGAGACTGGAAACGACCAAGCGCGAGACCATGGTTTTCTGGCAGTAGATGGGCATTGGATTTCCATGGCCAGCTCACTTCATACCTCTGACTGTCAAACGTTACAGTTGAGTTGACTTGCTGAATGGCTAGGTCGTTGTTAGTAAGATTGGCTGAATCCTGGATGCCAATGCAGTCTAAGTCCCACAGATCTGGGATAGTGCAGGAGTCATAAGTCGCATCAGTTAGAGAAACGATAGCTGGCATGGCTGTGCTGCTTATCGGTGTAGCCGAGTGCTTGGAGTGACGTGTTCGGCCAGTCACCACCAAGCCGACTGTGGTAGGCAGAAGCTGCAGTCCTCACGGAAGTCCTCTAATGCTCCCCACCATAAACTCCCAGAGGAAATCTGTACCGGTCAAGATGTCTATCTGACGGCCGACTTCGTGCAGGTTGATAGTGTCCGCCAAATTGTCTGTACCCAGTTCTTGGAGTGCCGTGATATCCGCTGCAAATGTGATTTGTTTGCTTCGGTTGGCAGAGGTGATCATGCTCGTCAGCGAATATCTTCGTTTTGTTTGTTAGGTTGAGGGAGTCGCAGATGTGAATTCTTTCTTTGTTTCTTTCCGTCTTCCTTTCTCCACTGCAGTGTCAAGCCTCCTTGCTGCTGACGACGACGACTCGGACTAGAGCGTTGGGGCGTGGCATCCGCTTTTATTTCGATGCAGTTTGTGTGTGTGTGGTGTGCACCTCGCGCGTGCACTGTCTGAGGTGCTCGTCTTCTCCCCAGCCGGACGTGTTGCTATGCGCTAACGCTCGTCGCTTAGCGCTAATAATGTCCATGAGCGACATTAGACATAGGCCTATCGCGGGGCCCGATCCGCCACTTCCCGTACTAACCAGCGTTTCTCTATTTCCTTTATGATCGACGTGCATGCGTGTTTCCCTTGTTTTTGTTTTATAAGCCTGGTGTGTTGAGCAAGGCTGTGTCTGGCCATTCCTTCTTCCTGTCTGGTTTGGATGCCAAGTTGTCAATGTGTGTCCGTGAGTACGCCAGATTTCACGACGCAAAGAGCCTGGTATTCCTGCCTTGGACGTCATCCATCCATATGTACTCACTTGCTTTCTCCTCCCAGTTAACTCTTGTTTTACCGCCCGTCACGATTCCGATCCTGCGCACGAGCCACTTGCATTTCTCTGTCTCTCTCTCTCTCTCTCTCTCTCTCTCTCTCTCTCTCTCTCTCTCTCTCTCTCTCTCTCCTGTTCGTGTTTATGCTTGGGGTTCCATTGCCGGGCACACCTCTGCTCTAATATACCTCATTATTTGTCGGAGTTTGTTCTTTGTGGAGCGTGCTGTTGTTCGTTTTACGCTTCGCTGCTCTACTGCTTCTGACTCTCCGGTAAAGATTGACTTGATTATTTTTTTCTGATTTCAGAGTGGGTCTTTTTTCAGCCACTCTCTACGTTTACGTTTGATAGTAGATAAGGGTTGATTGTTGTAATACCTGCCTCTCTCGTTAGACACGCATCCGATACAATACCACCATGTAACTCTCACTCTAGCTTGATAATTTGCGTTATATGCACGCCATTGGAACTTTCATTTCACTCCCGGCTTCGGGCATGGGTACTGGGTGCAGGCGGTGTTCTTCAACTGCGTGCATGCGCTTCACCTGGGATCTTGTTTGAGTTTTGCCAGGGGTTAGGTTGTTGTGTTGCCTCTTGTTGATCTGCAAACAAAGCTCTGCCTTTCAGTTTTCGGCCAAACCTGGCCTTTCAACCGTGTTCAGCGGCTAAACTGAGTCCGGGTTTGGGACAGGGAGTTGCCTTGTTTACGTTTATACTGGTACTGGTTTGGGCTGTTGAAATATGATGACCAACGTGAATGCTTGCTGTCAGGCAATGCCCTGGAGTTTGTTTTCCTACGTACAACAAGCAAGTTACCAGTGTACAGAGTTTCATGACTGTACTCTACTCTTTGTTTCAACCAGGGACTGAGGCCGTGAGGGCCTAGGGAGCCCTACTAATACTATAATTTTTATAGTACAGTTACAACCAAGAGTGCATGGACTCTTGTTACAACTCGTTGGCCCTGCTAAAAATGTTGTGATATGCAGTCAAGTGTGATTTCCCCTGGCCCTGTGTACATGGTGTATGCAAACCATGCATGACATACATGATACACTGCAGCACTGTACGATCGTAGATCTACGATAAGAAGCATGCAGGGAGTATACTCCCCGATAAGAAGGCTTGCATACGACTGTACGGTCGCCCATCGACTCCCATAATAGATGGTTGTACTGTAGTCGATACTCGATGGGGTGCGGTCGCATGCAGAGACTAGCGATAGTGCGAACTGCACAGAGATCCTCTTCGCGAAAGGAGCGAAAGAGCTTCGAAGGCTACAGATCAGGAAATCGAAGACTTTTCAGCTTGTTGCAGCGCTCTGGCTGTGTTTTTCGGTGTTTCTCTAGAAAACTAGCTTGATCGGGCCACCAGTTGTTCAGAGTCAGAGTTCAGAGAGCTTCAGGAAAGAGTATTCTTGCATTGGCTTCCGAGAAGAAGAGTATCTGAGTGATTTAGTACTTTTGACGGGCAGACCACAGAATGTCGGTGGCCGGATTGAAGAATAAATTCGCCAAGGCGGGGCAGGTAAGGCGATCTTGATGGAAATGATTGTGGAGATCCTGGAGCCAAACACTTACAGACAAGTAGAGGTCTTATACAGGGCGAATCGCCGAAAGGGAGTGTTGTTGTGTTTAGCACCGCCGACGTCTTGTCCCGTTGTGCGCCCCGCTGTGGTATGATGTGCTTTGCATACAGTACATGAGTGAGAAGGTCCTGAAGGCCGAGCACACCCGCAAGGATGAGGAGTACCGGGAGATGGAAAAGGTGAGTAGGCTGTCAATACAGCAGCAGCCATAACTCAGGAAGCCAAGCTTCACGAACTAACTTGTACCACAGTTCTGAATTTGTGGAGTTTTTTTCACCAAGCTGGAAGCTGCATCGTGTGTCAAAAAAAGAACTTTCAAAACTTTTGTCAAAGTTGGTTTTAGCATACACAGCTGCTACAGCAAGGGTGTATCACCGGTATTTCAGGTGGCTCCGCCAAACGGGATACATCACCAGAGATAACACTATTGATGGAGAACTCAGCTTTGAACAAGATTGTATAGGTGAACTTTTTCGAGAGAAAAAAATGCCCTGACCGGACCGGCTCCTACGGCCTGGCACAGTGTTCTCACGTGTTCTGGTATCCAGTGTGTGTGTTCTATAACAATTCTCAACACTCACTGCTGCGACAAGTGTTTATGATGCATCTTCGATGGCCAAGGCACGATGTACGTGTACATTGTGCAATATGAGAGGGGATCAGATACATGATGACTCGCTGCTAATGCCGCAGCGGTGCCAATTTCTCACAAGTCCATCACCCGGTTGAAACACAGGTGATAACGTCGACTTTGCTCTCTATTTTGGGCAGAGACAGACGTGCTTCTCAAAACGGCGTGAGCAAAGTCCATGCTATTTGCACGATCACTTCCCGGTGAATCACAGTTGTACTCAGTGAAATGGAATCCGGCTACATGATCAATTATACTGGGGGGGGGGGGGGGGGCACAATGCAGAGCCCTGTTCTGGCACTGCAAGCACTGGGGTATCATGTTCATGTAGATCACCAGTTACCATCACATCAACGCAAGCAAGCCGGTTACGAACGGCTGGTGTTCGCCATGCCGCGGTGGCAGCTGGGAGGCTTGCGTTAGACGTGGCAGGAAGTCTCACTGTCGCTTTCCAGTGCAGAGCTGGTGACAAGCTGCTGCTGATGCCAGTGCTGGCATGATGGTTTTAGTGTACATTAGAACAGGCAGTCAGTTACGCGGGAAACATAGTCTAGAGCTAACTACATTGTAGTGCTGGCATGTGTGCAAGCATACAGTGATGTGCAAGCATACAGTGATGTGCAAGCATACAGTGATGTGCAAGCATACAGTGATGTGCAAGCATACTGTCATGTGTGCAAGCATACAGTGAAACATGTGAAGGCGACCACTCGGATAAGGCGACCGCCAGTCCTAGAAGACCACTGCAACCAGGATCGACGGATTCTGTTTCCAGTCATATGACCCTGGATAGGGAGACCACCTGGTAACAGGGACCACCGTGCGAAGGTCCCTTGAGCGGTCGTCTTAGACAGGCTTCACTGTACTGTACTTCTCCTCTTCCCTCCTCCCCCCCCCCCCCTCCCTGGGGCTGTGCACTTAGGAGACGAGACACATTTTGTTTCTGTGTTGAATTTCAGTGGCTTTGCAGTTTGCACTCGGAGTGCGTCTTGTGCACGTTATGATTTCATGTTGGCTGTCGCTGTCCACATTGTGGAGAATGTGCACACTATTGCTTTGTGCATGTAATGATGTCATATATGGCTTTTGTGCATGTCATGATGTCATAATAATTATTATGGCTTTGTGCATGTTATGTCATATTATGGCTTTGTGCTTGTTATGATGTCATACCGTATGTCTGCACCTTTTAAAGCCATGGCGATATATTCGATTATAAAGCCAGTCTCAGTTATAAGGCCATGGGCTTCATAAATGAAATGACATTTGAAGTATATTTTGCAAAAATGAAGAAAGAAGTACTACCGGTATGCTAACAAACTTACAGACCAGCAGAAAGGGTGAACAAGTAGATTTAGATTGAAATTTCTGTGTGGACTTTGACCTTTATGGCATGGTGTAGTGTGGGTGGGTCATTTTGCATCTAAAATAGCTAGGAAAGCAGCGGTGTTTCGAATATAAGGCCATGGCTTTAACGGTGCTGACATACGGTATGCGTGGTGCACTAACGTCAGAATCTATTAAAGCACCCTTTTCGCGTGCTCGGTGGCTCGCATGGCTTTGTGCATGTTATGATGTCATACATGTAATATAATGGCTTTGTGCATGTTATGATGTCGTAATGTAACGGCTTTGTGCATGTTATGATGTCATGTAGGCTGTGGACACTATGGCTGCTACTGCGGAGCACATGGTTCGAGAGGTCAACTACATGTTGCAGCCCAACCCGAGTAAGGATACGTTCCTATCTGTGTGTGTGTGTGTGTGTGTGTGTGTGTGTGTGTGTGTGTGTGTGTGTGCGTGTGTGTGCGTGTGTGTGTGTGTGTGTGTGTGTGTGTGTGGACAGTGTGTGTGTGTGTGTCTGTCTGTCTGTCTTTGTATGTCTTTGTGTATCTTTGTGTGTGCGCGTGTGTGTATGTATGTGTGTATGCAAGAGTATATAAACCCCCTCCCCCCAGAACGTGCAGCTCCAGCGATGGGGTCTTCTATGGCTGAACGTCACAGCACCTGACAAACCCGTACACATTGTTTTCACCATGTGCGTGATAGATACAGGATTGTACGCAACCCTGCTTTGGGTACAACTCCCTGCCGGTCACTTTGCACTGTTTGCCAGCGCAGCCCTTTGAACCATGTCCGGGGTTCTCGCCAAAGCGGCATAGCCGGGGCGATGCGCACTCCTTCACTTTTTGACCGCTCCCTTTCAAAATGAATGTGCCACCCTTCAGAGTGCGAGCGCCACCTTCTTTCTATGCATGCTAAGTACCCACCATGTAGTAGCATAGCATAACATGGCAGTAGGAATCAAAAAATGTTGGGTCCAATGATCACCCCCCACCTTTGATCTAACTGTAACTTTGATATCGCACAAGGACTAGAGCTGGGAGAGAAAGAGAGAGAAGTTCACCCTCGCTTTCTTGTGTTGGCTGCACCTGGTAACATGCCATGGAGTGTGGCCAGCCGATATAGTGTCTGGCTATGCATGCAGCGTGTGCATTGCTAGATGACATGCAAGTACATGTACATGAGTGTACTGGCCATCGTTTGCTGGCCGTTCCGATGAACCCGGCTCTCTCAAAACTATCTCCGTGAAACAAAACTGCCAGCAGAACACCACTTGTCCACTGACTCACAATCAATGGCAAGAACACTACAGTACTGTTGGTCGCCGAAGAACTGGGGGGGGGGGGGGGGGGGGGTCAGCCTCCTAGCCTAGACCGTTCTTATGTTTCATGTATTTCAGTCTATGCACAGTTGGGTCACTGTGTGTACATCGGTACGCTGTGCTTGATGAAATTCTGGCCCGGCCGTTCTTCGGCACCCGACAGTACTGTAACTTAAGCGCAGTAGGTTGCTGTTACTGGCTGTGCCACAGATGTACACCAAGAGAGCGGAGCACCAAAATGTGCAACCTCTCTTCGCCAGTGCAGCTCAGTACTTATTTCAGACATGTTATTGCTGCCTCTCTACTTGTTCTGCAGCGGAAAGAATGAAGGTTGCGGCCAGAAGAAAGGTGAAGAGCGACAAAGCATTCTACCCGTACGAAGAAGGACCGGTCGGCGATGTCATGTTGAAGGCTGGTAGTGAGCTCGGTGACAAGGCTATCAACTATGGTGAGTGTTTGCAACGGGGGGGGGGGGGGGGGGGGGGGCAGTGGGCCATTGGTGTTCATGCGACTGCTTGAGTCTTGCATGTCCTGCCTGTTACTACTCAGTCCGAGCAAAGAAGAGGGTATTGCTGTTGTGTGTTTCTTGATTGAGCAGGAGAGAGAGAGAGAGAGAGAGAGAGGAAAGGAGCGACAGACAGGGACCAAGACTGATTTCACCGATTGCTCTGCTCTTCATGGCTTTCCCGCCGCTGATATCATAAGGACTTTTGTCGTGTCTGTACCAACTGGTTTTTTTTTGCTCTGTTGTTGTGTACTTTTATGCTAAGGTTCTGGTTTGGAGCAGGTGGGCACAGCAATGAAGGAGCTGGCTGATGAAAGAGACAACCTGGTATGCACTGACTTTGACGCTTTGAGCGGAATCAGCCGTACTTTGTTGTTCTCGCTAGACGTCATTGGAATTGGTTTTGCTAGTCACTTTTAGGTCCACTGCTGAGCCTTGTTGAGATCAAAGCACATAACTGTTCAGAGGTTGTCTCGCCCTTTTGTATCCTGATCATCCTGGAAGAATTATTCTTTCCACCTCCAGCCATCGTTGTGTGCACTCACCCGCACTCTTGTTCTCTCTCTCTCTCAATTTCCCACCCACCTCTCTCTTACTCACTCTCTCTATCTCACTCTCTCTCACTCTCACTCTCTTTCTCAATCTCTCTCTCTCTCTCTCTCTCTCTCTCTCTCTCTCCCTCTCTCCCTTCCTCCCTCCCTTCCTCCCTATGTGTGTGATACTGAGTGTTCGAGGTAGTTGGGCTTTATTCAAGTTACGTTGATCACATTGTCCATATCTTTGTGTGTGTGTGTGTGTGTGTGTGTGTGTGTGTGTGTGTGTGTGTGTGTGTGTGTGTGTGTTTCCTCACAGCATGTAAATGTAACACACAATTTCATTGACCCGCTCAATAGATTCCTACTGCAAGATATCAAGGAGAGCGCCGTAAGTTCTTATTCTGGTTCAGTTTTTATTATAGCGACTGTGTGTATATGTGGCTATAATTAGTGGCGGTCAATTCATCAGCCTTGCAAGCTATTGAATGGTGTAATCCCAGCACAAGTTGCTATGTCTAACATAGCACGTTTGCTATCATCGCTTCAGCCATGGTCAGGTGTGTGTTTGTTTGTGTGTGTGTGTGTGTGTGTGTGTGTGTGTGTGTTTGTACTGGCCGGTTGTTTCATGTCCCATAGCATATACCAGTATGTGCTAGATTTGAGTAACAAAGCTCCTGACAGCTGAGTTCCAGTCCATCAATTGAACCCGGTTTTGAATAATCTGAACTCTTCCCTGAAACCCTTCTTCATCTTGAAATTAATCTTTGACTCACTTTCCGAATTCAATTGATCTTGAACAATGTGATTTAGGCATCATCAGGGTAATGAATGATAACATATCCATTGCATAGATACTAACGTATTGAACTACATGTATGAGGACAACAACGAATGACACTGAGAAAGTTAACATATCGGTGTGAATATGTTAGGTGAAGAATAGGAAGGTGGTAAGTGTAGGTGGTGTATGTCTCAGCGGTGAGGTGTGTTTGTGTTGGGGGCGGGCTTTAAGTTCAATAGAATCCCAGTGGGCAGATGCGAAGACAGAGTGATACATTGTCTAGCCACAGTTGCAACATGTCATGGCAACAGAATTACATGTACATGATTATTAGTACATGATTATTATGTAGAATAGGCTGAGTAGCACCTACATCCAGCCCTGTGGACCAAGCACTGACACAAACAGGCTTGCACATGTAGGGGACAACACAATACCGACAGTCAGACATACACTGTACAATCATACAAGTAACAGTTTCACACCTTGCCCAGAAGCCTCCAGTCACAGTCCGTGTTCACAGACGGACGCCTCACCGCTGAGACATACACCATCTACACTTACCTCCTTCCTATTCTTCACCTAACATACTCACACCGGTGTCATTAGTTGTTCTCTTCATACATGTAGTTCAATAAGTACCTATGCAATGGATATTTTGTCATTCATTACTCTGATGATGGGCCAAGCCCGAAAATTTGGTGTAATGTAAATTTTAATTTGAATCACAGTGAAGAGACCGTTTTTGGAGTTTGGAGTTGAGAAGTGAAGTTTCCTAAGTAGCTGCGTTGGAGTTTGCGAACAATTAGAAAAGTGAACAGTGTGATGTTGAAGTATATTGTTTGGTGTTGGTGCTTTCACTCTCTCTCTCTCTTATCTAGGCACATCGTAAGAAGATGGAGAGTCGTCGGCTGAACTTTGATGCAAAGCGCAGAAAGATGGCCAACGCGAAAGGAGGTCGGTGTCATTTCTGTGTGTGTGGGAGTGGGAAAGAGAGAGAGAGAGAGAGAGAGAGAGAGAGAGAGAGAGAGAGAGAGAGAGAGAGAGAGAGAGAGAGAGAGATGAAGAGAGAATTTGTCTGCACTCCCAGAAGTGCTCTTGAAACACTCCGGGATGACCGGTTTCACCTTGTCTGATGTGAATGATGCACGTCCCGCCGTGTCATATTCAACACAATCATGGCGTAGGCATTGCTCTCTGCTCCCGCCACTCACTCCTTACACAACTGACACAGCCACAAATAACAAGTGAAAGTTCAAACCTTTCCCGCAATTGGTTAGGCCGCGGTCACACCAAACAAGCCGTTTCCCGCTTGCGCTGAAAGTGGCTTGTGCTGAATGGGGCGGTTGGTCACACCACTTCGCGAAATCGGCTGGATTTTTTTTGTGTGCTAGAGTTTTTTTCTTCCCGCTCATTTTTGAATATGATTTTCTCTTGTTTTCCCGTCCGCCTTTTCCAGCACACTTCTTCAGTTCGTCCAAGATCCACGCTCTCTTTCTGGTATTTTTTTCATAGTGGTCTCATACTTGATTTTTGTTTCAAACCAAAACTCCAGTAGTCGCCGCTCCAGTGCTACTGTCCAGGATTCCATGATGACCGACAAAAAGGCAAGGAGAGAAGTTTCACCAACGACGAAAGCCGGAAGGTGGCAGAACACGATGCAAGCTGGAAGATCCTGGCGAGCTGAAATTCGCTCCTCAAGGCGCTCGACTCGAGCCAGCAGGGGTGCAGGGCCGTCGACACGGCCGCCGTAACGGAACGTGGATTTAGGCCAGTTGTGAGTAAGCTGGCCGGCTGGGGAACGGCGGACGGGATATCGTCCTGCTCCGCACAGGCATTGCCGGAACGATCCGCACGGGCATTGCCGGAACGATCGGCCGCATGGTCCGCAGGGCTAGGGGCTCGATTTGGAGTGTCGGCATACGGGGACGACGAGGCGCGCCTGCGACTGGAATGCCTGGGCCCGGGAGCCGACTGCTTACGTGCACGGGGCATCTCCGTGAGCTGTGGTAAACCTTGAGATCGATTGAGGTTGAGAAAGAAATCCACTGCCAATGCGGACAAAGCAAGAACTGAACGAGTTTATTTTTCCCGCCACTGCGCCAGAATGGCTGAAAGTGGCTGAATCCATTCAGCGCTCCCATTCAGCGCTTTGAAAACGGCTGACTGCTGAAAAAGGCTGAAGCCGAAAATTCAGCCGTTTCCGTAGCGACGATGACGTCAAAAAGCGCTTTTTTCCGCTGAATGGCTGAATCGCGCTTGGTGTGACCGCGGCCTTAGCGTAAATAAATTAATACCTGGACAAAAATAACGACAAGACAACTGGGAAGTGAAGCCCAGCCCAGGAAGCTCGATAACTTGAAAATGATTGTTAGTGTATCCAGCTTAGCAATTAGCACAAACATCAAATTTATCTCACTATCGTGCACGGCCAACGAGAAATGAGCACCCTGCCTTGGTGAGAGTTAGAGCCCTTGTTGACCTGTTGGTGTGCGATGTTGTGCATGTGTTGTTTTCAGGTAACGCCGGTGTCACAGAAGAGGAGGTGCGGGAGGCCGAGGCAAAGTTCGAAGAATCGTATGACCTTGCCGCAGACAGCATGCAGAATCTTCTCGACGCTGAGGTACGTGTTGACATACATGGGGCATAGTGAGCGTACACCAAAATCTGTACATTCTGCCGAGAGATTAAAACAATCTGCCATTGGTTTGTGATCGGTAAAGTCGGACTTCTTGGATTCTGCGCGGTCTGTGTAATTCAGTGGTGTATGCTTCGCAGAGGATTTTAGAATGGACGGACTTTTGTGTGATTGAATGCACCCATTGATTTATTGTTTGTGTGTGTCTGTTTGTTTGAAATTATGATCATAATTATATATGAGATGTGTTGATGTTGTTGTTTCAAATCTTTATTCTCACGATAGCCAGTGGCCAATAAGAGATGTTGTTGTTGTTGTTGTTGTGCGTGCGTGCGTGCATTGGCCCGTCTTGTGCAGGGTGAGCAACTCGCTCAGCTCAGTGCTCTGTGCGAAGCGATGGTCGACTCTCACCAGGCCTCGATCCGCATCCTGGAAAACGCCCTGTCATCAGTCCGCAACCTGTGAGTGGACAGTCAGCAGTATTATGAGCTTTGATAGCTAATACTTATAAAAATTGGTATTCAAAATTGCACGCATTGTGCCCAAGGGCTTTCGTCTGACCGGTCTTCGCGCAGGTGATGTCCGTCTTACCCTGTCTCGTGTCCGGTCCTTCGTGACCGTGAAGTTTCATGCACTGCCTGCCCACTACAGCTATACACGCTGCCAGGTCCGCCCCATGCCCTATGCCTGCTGATGGGTGTTTGCCTACACCGATACTGTGTGACACTGGGAGCAGATCGTCTGATTCGTTTACAATGAGCTACTGATTCTTTCTTCTTCAGGGTTGTGTTGCCGGAGGTCGTGGCCGAGGCAGGCCCAGAATGTCATGGCTTGATAATACTATTTCATGGACTGCACTTGACGTGCAGTCCCTGCTCGCTGCTGCATGCGATCGATTTTTATGGCGCTCGCTTGTTCATACTTGCTCTGTGACGCCCCGACGGCCTTAGGGCTATGGGCTTATGATGATGATGAACTGATTCCTTCCACATCTACATGCACCGTAGTTCCCCCGAATACACAGTTGCGCTCGGTGAAATCCAACCCCAAATGCAAAGCTGGCGCCCTGGGCCAGTTCTGATTACATCATCGTATTTGTACATGTGTACGTCCAGCCGCATTCGTGCCACTTCCAGGGCGTCAAGAGCCGTGCAAAAACAGGGCGCCAAATGTGCACTCTGGGTCGGATTTCACAGAGCGCAACTGTAGGTCTCACCCGCTTACACTAAAATTCAAGGGCAACAAAAAGAGGGTGCAACTTACAACCGAGCAACTTATTACTGAGTGAAGATATATCGAAGCAATATGGATCAAACCTGAAAATGGTGATGCGGCTTATAACCGGGAAAGTGAGGTACATGTAGGCGTGTAGTTTGACAAATCCTGGCTAAGAGATGGCTGTGTCCGTTCGGTGTGATAGTATCAGTATGTTAGCATCAAGGCCAGCGTGAAATCATCAAATGCGTACATGTTATGCCATGGGTAAGCCGCGCGTTCATTCCTGTAGCATTCCTGGAGCATCTAGGAGAAGGCAGGTGGGGTCTTATCATTATTAATTTTTTTTACAAGCATTCCCCGCGTTGAAGTGTAGCAGCAGTGTACTGGGTCGACGGCTTCGCTTATGGTGAATGGCTTGGGTGAGAGGAGAGGGGAAAGAAAGCAGCGAGGCAGCCACATCTAATTTCTCACAATAACATGAAGAGAACTAACCTACAGTTCTGACCAGAGAAATCCAACCTCATGAATAAAGTAGTGCCGCGTTCGAGTTCACAGACCTGTGTATTTAGTGCAAAGGCTGCATGGTGCCCAGCGCTATTTTATTCATGAGGTTTTTCTTTGGCCAATACTGTATATGTGCGACTGCACAAGAACAGTTGGGATAATGGAAGCCAACCCCATTCTTTTCTCTCTCTCTCTCTCTCTCTCTCTCTCTCCTCAGCATTGACTCTTCGGCATCGCGTGGCACTGCCGAGCGTCGTCGGGTACGTCCCGTTCCCGTCGACTCCGGCCGCCATAGTGACGAAGAGGCGCCAGGCAGCAGTGGCGGCTCCGATGCGTTCTGCGTGTCGCTCTACGACTTTGAGCCGGAGAACGAGGGCGAGCTGGGATTCCCCGAGGGCGCCCACATCCAGCTCGTGAGTCGCATCGACGAGAACTGGCTGGAGGGATCGTACCAGGGCCAGACCGGCTTCTTCCCCACGAATTACGTGGAGATCAAGAAGGACCTGTAGGTACCGAATCAGCACACCTGTGTGTGCATTGTATACACACACACTCGCCTCCGAGGAGGGACTGTGTGTAATTGTGCAACCTCTTGTGGCCGGTTGGCTGCCGGCTAGGAGGACATTCCAGGCAGGGTTTTAAGCCGGGTGCTACGCCGAGGCACACCGTTTTCACCTGAACTTGCTGCAGGCCTGTCAGTGCGGCCACCTTGACTTAGGTCTTGCTTTTTAACCGTCATTTGTAAGTAGCATACATAGACATGGAACAGCTTGCCTTGATTTTGCATCCTTTTTGTGCGTTCTGGTCATTTTGTAGTTCGACTCCCGCCGTTCCTGTGTGGAAATATGTGCATGTGTGGGTGTGCGTGTGTCTGTGCATGTGTGTGTGTGTGTGTGTGTTTGTGCGGGTGTGGGCGTAGCGTCCTAACGTCGTTAGTCTTTTGTACTTTATCTAGCTCTTTCTTGTATGCCGGCCTGGTCTATTCACACAGTTTTTTCTGCTGTGATCCGTGTTCGCCCCCTTGATGCTTTTGGTCGGGGCGCTTTTGTCCTGGTCTTGTTTCTCAGACGCCCTGCGCATGTTTGCTTCGTAATTAACTTTACAGACCAAATCAATATGGCCCCGTTTTGTTTTTGCAATGATGTCGTTGAACCCTGACTGCGGCCTGTTGACGAGGATTATTACTCGTGTATGCTGTTTTGTTATCTCGCTTGCGATTTGTTCGTGACTTGCTATTTTCATTTACCGCCTGGTTTTGCTGAAGAGTGAAGTACATTCAATGATTGCATGTGTGGCTATGGGGTTCATGAAGCTTGGTGTGTGTGTGTGTGTGTGTGTGTGTGTGTGTGTGTGTGTGTGTGTGTGTGTGTGTGTGTGTGTGTGTGTGTGTGTGTGTGTGTGTGTGTGTGTGTGTGTGTGTAACCTGCCTCTATTTTCATTCAACTGGCCGGTACTCGGGTGCTTTTGTAAAATCTGTGTTCAGGTTCCACTGTGATCAAGTCACAATCCGAACCTCTCGGCCGGCCTGTGTTGAAAGACCACCTGCATGCTCTAATTTATTTATATCTATTTATTTATTCAACATATGGCTTCCGATGGCAGCCAAAACGGGAAGATGTGGGTGATAGCCAACCATGGTAAAAGAAGGAGAAGATTATATACATGAAAAGGAAACAGCCGAAAAGCTATTGATTAGTTTGTTGACCCAGGCCGCTGTACTTTTACTCAGTTTGAGAGAAAACGTGACACTATCTCTTAATCAGCAATTGGTTTCTGGCTTGAATAATATTATTATGATGACAACATTTCAGTGGTGGAATGAGTTTCATGAGGTGTTTCCATACACTCCCCATAGGAATTTCTAGCTGTGACAGGACTGTGGCAGGACTCTCCAATCAATAATTACAGACAATCAATTATCATGGTATCTTTGTACTCATTCAGCATACATTTATACCGTCAGACCTCGCTTATCCAGATCCCTTGCCATCCGGAAGAAAATTGTTGGTTACCAATTTACTGCATGTGGTTATGTCATGCATACATACAGTGTACTAGTATGTGTGTTCCATTATCCGGTTATTTTTGTGAAAAACAGATGTGTGCGGCTAAGCGAGGTCTGACTGTACTGGTCTGACTGTACTCGTACTTCCCTGCCAGTTCTATTGCGCAATTGCCTGCATCCATTACAACCAGCGAGTAGTACAATATATTGTACTACTCCCTGATTACAACATTACGAATACATGTAGTGCAGAACACTCAAATCCTATACATGTACAGTGCTGCCCAATGAAAATAATTGATCACGTGGAACAAGTTTGCGCCTCGCACCAGTAGTTCCCTATAAGGCTATCCAGTGTTCACAGGTTCAGGGCTGCCAGCGCCCAGCTTGGCATTCACTCGCGTGATCGGATTTCACCGAGCAGCACTGTACTAAAAGCAGACATTTTCGGGGTGTAATTTTTTCGGTATTCTCCAAAATCGGAGGTTCAGGGGAGGGAAACTTTAGGTAAACCTGTTTTCCAGGTAAGTGTACTACTAGTAGTACCGAAATTTTCGGTGTGTTTTATTTTATATAAAAATTGTCGGCACCGAAGTTACCAGAAATAAAACACCACCGAAAATTTCTGCTTTCACAGTACACTGTACATTGATCTGCCAAAAACACTGATATGTTCTCTGTAGGTCGAGCGAAAATACCGGCACTCTTGAAAACTTCCGAAGAGAACCAACTGATGCTGTCCAAACATCTAACATGCAGTGCAATTCAGGCACACATCGTATCCCAGGCTGCACAGTCATGTACTGTAGTCGGATCATGGTCTACAATAATTGTAGGTATGTTAAAAAAATTGACCTCGTCTTCCACCACCACTGATACAGTCGGTTGCACACTCCGGTGTACGTACACTCAACACCAAGGGTTATTGGTGACACCGATCAAGAGCACCTACTACCGCAGTGGGTCACACAAAGCTCAAAAGAATGAGAGTGTGGAAGGCACGGGCAGACGAAAGCATAGGTATTGACCGTAAAATACAACATTTAGTAGATCAGCAACATGCACGACATCATCAAACAGCAAACATCAAGACCGGATTTGAAAGTCATGGCAGCAGCTGGAGAAAAAAAAAACCCATTGACAGCGGTGTAACTCTTTGACAAAAACAAGAGTCGACGTGTCTAAAAGCGACGAAATAACTACGACATACGAATATACACAGGGTGACGAGAGCTACAGTAAAAACAAAACAAACAAAAACGGCTGATATATTGCTGCACAAACAGACCAGCTGCTTGTGATAGATAGTAGAAGAGAAAGGAGAGTATTGTCTCTGTGCGAGAAAGAAAGAGAGAGAGAGAGAGCGAGAGAGCGAGAGAGAAAGCGAGAGAGCGAGAGAGAGAGAGAGAGCGAGAGAGAGAGAGGCAAAGAAAGAGACACAGAAAAGGGGCACACAGAGATGATGTGCAGAAAGCACATACCAGAACACGGGGTGGAGGGAATCCAGCGTTAGTATCCAGAACACTAACGTCTGCATGAGTAAGTACTTCAAAGTAAAGATAACTTATTACGGTTTGCTCAAGTTTGACGGCACCAGGATCAACACTACAGTCACCGCTGCATCAAGGAATCGAAATATTTAAACTACACGAATGAGATTGGAAATAAAGTACCAAAAATAAAATAAGATATCAACACTAACGTACTCGTACTCGTACACACACACACACACACACACACACACACACACACACACACACACACACACACACACACACTCTCTCTCTCTTTCTCTCTGTGATGGAACGAATCACACATAAACTGCCTGGCACACTGGCGCTGGCTGTGGCAGAGACACACGGCTGCACCCCCCACATATTCGCGATGCACAGCCACCAGTAACCAGACCCATGGCACGAGACAATGATACGTTCATCGTCACAGTGGCTTGGTCGTAGAGAGATCACGCGCTGTCGGGTCAACCAGACCACGGGTCAAGTGCACAAGGAACTCTCTCTCGTCAGTTCAACTTCTGCTACCGGGCCCACATTACTCCCGACCTGCTGTTGGTAGTGCAATCCGCCTGTCCACTATATCTGCCAGTACATGAGTACTGTATCACCACCTGGACCTCATAAGGTACGACCTGACTTTCCTCACCCACAGTACACATACAGCGTGCGTGTAGCATGGGGTTTGGTCAAACACTGCTGATGTACTGTATCACCTGTTACTGGACCCCATAACGTACGGCCTCACTTTCCTCACCCACAGTACGCTTACCGCGTGCGTGTAGCCCGCAATGACGTCGGTGACGCGATCGTTGCTGACGAGCACGCCGGCGCCGAGGCCCATCAGGTGGCCGACGTGGTCCATGCGCGTGGCGTACAGGCGCAGGAAGCGCAGGATCAGCAGCGTCAGGTCCACACCGGCCAGCACCATGGTCAGCTGGGCCGGACTGAGCGTCACGTCGGTGAAGACCACGCGGAAGCGCTTGCGCGTGTCCCAGGCGTGGCAGCCGAGCACGGCCATCAGGCCGCAGGAGGCGCCGCACGCCTGCACCAGGCGCACCTCACCCATCGCGCTCATGAGGTGCGCGTACGCGCCGAAGCGCGCCAGCGACACCCACGCCGCGCAGCTGAGCATGATGGCCAGCGAGTACGCCGGGAACATCTGCGAGTGCTCGCCGCCCGTGCTCGAGCTCGGCAGCCGATACAGCTGCAGCAGTGCCCAGCTGTTGGCGGCGAGGTGGAGAACGCCGGCGTGATACAGCGTCGAGCCCAGCACCTGGCTCGGCCGGAACGCCACCGTCGAGATGATGAAGCGCCGCTCCAGCCACTTCGCAAACTGCGCGTGTCTCACCTTGCTGGCGGCGAACACCAGTGCAAACACACCCAGTGTTGATAACATGGCCAGGGTGGAGTTGCGGTTCACATCCCTGTTGCTGGTCTCCTGGTCCAGGATTGCCACGGCGCCGAACGACACGGCCGTGACGCCGCAGCACCATCCGACGCCGCGCAAGAGCACGAACCGTCCGCCAGATGCACTCCTGCCAAGGCCACCGCTGTGCCCATGTCTGGCTCTCAGCTGAGATTTGAACAGCGTCGCACACCTAGTCAACAGCTGACCACTAGGCTTCTTCCAACCTGAATGCAGACCACGGGACGCCTGCTGCGGCCCTGACGTGCGGGGCAAAGCACAGCACGCATTTGGATTTCTGAGCAGTTTCGTTAAACCAGCTCTCAGCATGGTCCTCTACGTCAACAATGAAGATCTAACAACTTCGGCCAGACCACTCTGACGATGGTGCGCTCAGGGCATAGGGTAGGCAGTACTACTATGCACCAGAAGACACAGTCAACAACACACCCCACACAGCTAGGACTTGTCTGGCAATTATTTTCGGATCAAAAATGACAAGTGAGAGTTTCAAAAACAAAATAGATCGTTCAAAACTCTGACGGATGTAGGGAAATAGACTGCTCACACTGTTCGAGAGAAGAAGAATACGTAACAGATTATTGACGTTGCACTCAAGCAACTACTTCTCTTATTAGAGTTTGGCTTAGAATGTAAAGTCAAAAGTAAACAAATTCTAGTCTTTCACTCAAAATCTTGTCAACAGTCTTCTGCTACTGCTAGCATGCTGGCTACAAAAAAAGCTGGAAGCAAAAGTCTTTTGATTGATTTGTCTTTCAGACTGCAACTACGTCATTGTGCAGATCGCCAAAATCGGACGGCAAGATCACGTGGCAGCCATTTTATTTTTCAAGAAGCTGCAAAAATGCTCGAGGGGGTCATAAAAATATCCATTGTCTGGGAGCTTTTGCCCAAGGGCAAGGGTGCTGTCCTGCAAAGGGATTTTCCCTTCTACGCCACATCGATTTAGCTCTTCCGAAGAAATGGCGTTCACGAAGGAGGAAGAAGGGCCATCCGCTGCCCCGAGTGGCGGCGCTGGCAAGCAAAAACTAGAACGATGGTCCTTAGGATCTTTAGTAGATGGTTCTAAAAGCCTCCTTATATTTGTAGTGCTAGCGCTGGCATGGTTCCTTGGATTTTCAAGCCGTCTGTTCTCTGTTCTGCGATTTGAAAGTATTATCCACGAATTTGATCCTTGGTGAGTCCTTCTTGTTCTCCTAGCTTTCCTATGTGTACATTTTAGATTGGAAAAAAATTATGTCGTCCATAGGTTGTTTTGTAGTTGTGATTGTGGGCGGCAATGATGTGGCGAAGAAGTGTTCCAAAGAAATTTATTATTTTTTTACATGGAGGCCTTGTACTGTAGGCGTACAAAAAAATATGTTACCTGTGATCCAGGCCAGGATGAGGATAGGATATATCAATGTGGCGTGTAGCCTCCGTTGTTTCAACTGTGAATAGTTCCACTCGCCTGTGTTTTTGTTCGATGGCGTGGATATGTTGTGGTCGTGTTTTCTCGCGTTGTTCAGTTATTGCATGCAGACGGCAATAGAAAATGAATTAATTTTTTTACGGCACAGCTGCTTACCTTTTACTAGTGCGATGCGGAGAAATCGCTTTGGGCGGAGGTGCACGATTCTGACTGCAGGCTGCCGTGTTTTCCAGGTTCCTATCCGAAATACAGCTCGTTGCACATGTATCGCCAGTACCTATGCTAGGTCCACCCCGCATTGACATTTCATTTCATGGGGATTCTCCAAAGGCATGCTTATCAAAGGGAGTCTCCTAGTCCAGCCTGATGATTGCCCCGGGTAGAAATATTGGGTGATACTTTGTCCAAATGCAGTACAGTACTGTAGGGTGCTGAAGAACTGGAGGGGGTGATCAGCCTCGTAGCCTAGGCCATTCTTATTTTCATGTACAGCAGTCAGTGTGCGGTGGAGAGCCCACGTATATATTGGTGTGCTGTGGTTGATGAGATCCTAGCCTGTTTGCTCTCCGGCGCTCCGTTTTTCGGCACCTGGCAGTACTGTAAAGAGACGGATTAAGCAAAGCGTTGCTTGTTCCTACCACCCGTGAAGTGAGAGCAGTGGAGTCTACACACCCTGTGAGAAATGGTGCCAAACATTCTGCAAATCTCTAGCCACTGATCGTTGCTACACGCGGCTCTGCACTCTTGTAGGCCACGTTTCGTGCTGAGTGCGTCAGTCAACTCCGGGTGATTTGTCGGGATTTTCTGGCGCTGACCTTTCAGGGTGTGACAACTTTTCTGAAAAATCCAACACAATCAAGTGGCCTTGAAGTGCAGCTTCCGAAGCGACCTTTATGAAAACTCATGATTGAAGCCCACGCATGACAAATTAATTGTGACAGATCGCTCGGGGTTGACATCACATTCAGTGCAAAAAAATAACTCAGTGCAAAGATCTGGTGAAAAAGAGTGGCATGGTCTGAGGCAACCCCAAGTAAGCGACATGATAGCGCATCGCTAATTTTCACCGCTTGTGCAGGGGAAAGCACTTGTGTGCATCGCTTGCCTCCTGTATTAGAACCTGAAAGGTGACGTGTACGAAGAGAACTGTGATCTTCGGGCTGCTGCGCGAGGTATAGTGTGAGAAATGTGCAGGCTAATTAGCCATGTGATACAACCAGAGATGGACACTGTAGAAGCCTTACTGTGTCAGGGGCACTGGAGAAGGTTGAACAATATGGTGGTAAAGACACACCTGGCGAAATGGCGGTATATACACGCCTGTCCACACAAGCGCTCTAAAGCTGCAAAGTTACACAAATTGCATTTCATTCGACCACAAATCCAGCTGCAGTGGAGTCTTCAAATTTATTTTCCCGAAGAACCTGGTTATTCACTGGCATCTTCAAGCTATGATTATATTTGAAGTGGTGTGCCATTGTTTGCTGTATTACATTGTAGTATGGCACAGTAAAGGCTTTAGTGTACATATACAGTGGTGATGTGCTTTCACTGAAAGCTAACACCGTGTTGAAACTGTCCAGGTATATCTAGTCGTTACAGTGGGTGTACGTGGAGATGGTTGAAGGTATCATGCCTCTGGTAGTATATGTGCCTCTACTTGAAGTGCATGGATGCAGTTATTGTCTTATTGACCAATGCAGTTTGTTATGACTGGGTTTTGCTGAGGTGGAATGTCGATGCTGAATGGGTGTGTTCTTGTGTGGTTCGTTTATTGGCCATGCGTGCCTGTGTGCGCGAGTGTGTGTGTGTGTGTGTGTGTGTGTGTGTGTGTGTGTGTGCGTGTGTGCGCGTGTGTGTGCGCGTGCGTGTGTGTGTACGTGGGTATGGGTACATACTGATCTCTTTCTCTACAGGTTCAACTATCGTGCTACAGCGCAGCTCACCGAGCATGGCTTCTATCACTTTCTCAACTGGTTTGACGAGACTGCCTGGTATCCGCTGGGCAGAATTGTGGGAGGAACGGTAAGCAACGTGGCGATGCTGGTAATGGTGGTTGTGGTGCTTATGCTGGTGCGGCTGCTGCTGCTGCTGCTGCTTCTGTTGGTGGTTCTGGCAGTGTCGGTGAGAGAGAGAGGGGGAAGTGCTACTGCTGCTGGTGTCAGTGAGAACTGGCTGATTTCAATCATCAGAGGGGTCTTGGTAGCTTAGAGGTTGTGTGTACATGTCATGTGTATATGCCGTGTGTGTGTGTGTGTGTGTGTGTACATATGCGTACGTATGTTTGCGTGCGTGTGTGTGTCTGCGTGTGTACGTGTGTGCGTGTGTATGCCGTGCATGTGCATGCGTGTGTTCACGTGCAACACGCACACACACACCCACACTCTACAGGTGTACCCTGGCCTGATGGTGACGTCCGGCCTGATTCACTACGTGCTGAACACACTCAACATCACCGTACACATCCGTGATGTCTGTGTCTTCCTTGCTCCCATCTTCAGGTGAGCTGCTCATTCCCTGCTGTAGTTCTATTTCTTATGGTTGATTTTATATGGTGGTACATACACATCTGGCAATATGGTGGTAAATACACATCTGGCAATATGGCGGTAAATCCGTGCCTGCCCACACACGCTCTCTAAGCTGCAAAGTTACTCTGGCAAAGTTCTATTTCTTCTACAGTATTCAATAAAACCTGTCCGGGCGACCCCCTGTCCGGGCGACCCCCTGTCCGGGCGACCCCCTGTCCCAGAGGGCCACTGCAACTAGGACCTACAATCCATTTCAAAAAATATGGACGCATGGTATTTCTGAAAAATATTTCAACTTTTTGGTTGGAGCTTTTTGAGAATTTTTTCGGAATATTGCTCAGGTCCTTCCTGCAATTACCAGTACTCTCGTATAGATTTTTAAGCGATCGAAAGCCCAATTTCGAAATGTTTATGCACCAAGTGATCACAGATTTTATGTAATATAGATGCTGGCCTAACGGTTTTTTGAAATCGCGCATCTATATTTTTGAAACGTACTGTAGGGGTGTTGTTGACAGTCCCATGACCCTGGATAAGAAGACCACCCGTACACAGGCACCGCATTTTTGAAGGTACCTTGAGCGGTCGTCACCCGTACACAGGGACCGCATTTTTGAAGGTCCCTTGAGCGGTCGTCACCCGTACACAGGGACCGCATTTTTGAAGGTCCCTTGAGCGGTCGTCTTAGTCAAATTTCACTGTATTTACCTCACGGGACCTCAACATCCCTGTACAAGGGTAGTCTCCTTATCCAGGGTCTTTTGACGGGAAATAACACCCGTTGGTCCTAGTTGAGTTGGTTCTCTGGGACAGGTGGTCGCCTTCAAAGGTGGTCTCCTTATCCAGGGTCGTTAGACTGGAAATAACTCCCGTTGGTCCTAGTTGATTTGGTTCTCTTAGTCCGGTGGTTGCCTTCACAGATTATTCTGTATAGAAGTTGTGCACTTATGTCATCACTTGGTCTGTTTGTGTGGAGTGGCTACACCAGCACCAGCCACACAAAGCATATGATGAGGCCGTTCGCATGCGTGGGAAGTCGCTTTCATGTGAATGTGTTTAGTGCACTTTTTAAAAATATTGCATTCCTCCGTCAAGCTTATGTTTTATCCAGACAAGGCTTGGATCCTGTGCTGTCTTGTGTAACGGCCTATTCTTGTTCAGGAGTAAGCACGACGAGTGGTTTATATCAGCCTTTTCACTTTTTTTGTGTGCTTGCATTTGTAGTGGCTTGACTGCCATTGCCACATACCTGCTGACAAAGGAGGTGTGGAATCGCGGTGCTGGACTGTTGGCTGCCTGCTTCATAGCCATCGGTGAGTAGTATGATCTACAGTACTGCTAGGGTGTTGTGCTCTTGTGTGTGTGTGCGTGTGTGTGTGTGTGTGTGTGTGTGTTTGTGTGTACATGTGTGTGTACGTTCGTCTGTGTGCGTCTGTGTTTTACTTTGGTCGATATGCATCACACGGTGATATCATTACATTTTCGTTTACCAGGACATATTTTGGATCTAGGGTGTTTCGTTAGCAGTTCCTGACTTGCTTTCAGGTTTATCTTGCTTGCTTACAGACACAATTCAAGCAAACTTATTTGAGAAGGAGCAGACCAGGATAGGGCAGGGGCGGTTCAAGTTTGTGTCCGTACGCCCAAAGCGTCTACAGAACTTATTGTTGGAAAACTCTGAATTACAGCGTACTTTTGTGTTCCTGTTTCTTTGGTGTTGCATGTCCAGTGCCGGGTTACATCTCTCGCTCCGTGGCCGGCTCGTATGACAACGAGGGCATTGCCATCTTTGCCCTGATGTGCACGTACTGGCTGTGGGTGAAGTCGGTGAAGACTGGTTCGGTGTTCTGGGCCGTGGCCTGCTCCATCTCCTATTTCTACATGGTGAGTGCTGAGGCCAGTATTTGTTTGTTTGGGCGGTTGGTTGGTTTATTCTAGTGTTGCAGCGAATAGCTAAATCACGAACGAATATTCTAACGAAGATATTCGATTATTCAAATATTCGTTTGCAACACTGGTTTATTCTACTTCACCAGATACACAGGCCTTTCTGCCTTTTCATCTAGCCGTATGGCTAAACTCTCAGTAAAAGATATGGGTGTGGCTGTGTTGTACTTCTAGTGGTATTTAAAGTTTTCAGCCCATGGTAATCAGTCATTAGCGGTTTCGCGACCGGTGGTATTTGCAGACAAAGTCATTATCAGTATTGAATTCTTTGCTGTTCCTTGTGTGTGTGTGTGTGTGTGTGTGTGTGTACGTGCGTGTGTGTGTGCGTGCACGTGCGCGCGCGTGTGTGTGTGCGTGTGTGTGTGACTGTGTGTGTATTCTGTGTGTATTCTGTGTGTTGCCATGGTCTAGGTGTCAGCATGGGGTGGCTATGTATTCATCATCAATCTGATTCCGCTGCACGTCTTCTTCCTGCTGCTGATGGGACGCTTCTCCAACCGCGTCTATGTTGGTAAGTGTGCGTGTGTGTGTGTGTGGGGGGGGGGGGGGGGTGTACTGATGGGGTGAACACTATGGGCCTGGGCAGTGCCAAGTAAAGTTTCCGTATGCTTTCCTGCAAACCATGAACCCCTTTTCTCTTTGCTTCCTCGGAACGAGGTCCATGGAAGGAGTTGATTTGTGCCCCTCCCCTCTCCCTCTCTCTCTCTCTCTCTCTCTCTCTCTCTCTCTCTCTCTCTCTCTCTCTCTCTCTCTCTCTCTCTCTCTCTCTCTCTCTCTTTCTTTCTTTCTCTCTCTCCCTCTCTCTTGACGATGGTAGGTTTTAGCTTGAGTATAATCCTGACTATGATATCTGTGTGTATATGTGTATGTGTGCAGTGTACACCACATTCTTCATCCTGGGTCTTGTGCTCTCCATGCAAGTGCCATTTGTTGGCTTCCAGCCTCTGCGCACCAGCGAGCACATGGCAGCCATTGGTAAGTTGTTGTGTGATCTGCTACGGCTAGCCTAGCCATTCGATCAACCCTGTAGTGTATGGCGTCACTAGCTGTACTTTAAAAGTATTGTGTATGATGTCACTACCTGAAGGTTGGAGTTGAATTGTTGTGACATGAGTGATGCTTGTGGTCACAGTTGGTGTACAGTATGAGCTTCATGTATTGGTAGAGCTGCAACGGGTAGGGGTTTGACCAGGTAACGGGTTTAGGTATTTCTATCTGGGTAGCACGGTACCCTATTGGCTATTTTTTGGACACAGCACGAGTACACTGGTGCACGGCATTGCATCAGCGGGATTGCCACAATGCGTAACTGTTTTCACTTATCTCAAGCCGACTTTGATATTTAATATGCTTTGCTGCGGCTGCTATTGTTGTCGCTGTTGTCGTCGTTGTGCTCTTCTTCTCGTGTGCATGCTGACCAACAGGTGTGTTCCTGCTGCTGCAAGCCGTGGCCTTCCTGACCTTCCTGCGCAGTCACTTGCCACTGGCCGCCTTTAAGCAGCTCTTCCTCCTGCTGGCCGTGGCTGCTGCTGCTGTCGTCTTCCTGGGTGTAGTGGCGTTGACCTACCTCGGTGAGTAGCCACTGTTGTCTGCTGTGCCTGTAATGTGCTCCTGCTTGTACTGGTACTCCTTATGCCGGCCTCATGATGAAGATTATTCTATTTATTCAGACAACATCTATTGGCATGTCCAAAGGCAGAAGGGTGAGAGCCAACCAATTTGATTCATGAAAAAAAGTTTTCAGCAGATGGACTTATATCCATACACCAAACACCTTAATGATAATCTTATTTATGTGATTTGGTGTGTGTGGATATACCACATTGCAGTATTGTTGGCGTGTGTGCCAGGTTAGGATTTGTCTCACATAAATTGCCCTTGGGTATTCTCTGCCTGGTGCCTTGGCCTGTGAATTGGCAACTGCCATTATGGTGTACTCATCTACGTTCACCCCTCTGGCACTCGCTTTTTTCTCCTTCTTCGTCACTTGCGATCACTCTCACTTTTTTGTATAGTATTTTTCTTCTTTTGTGCACATGTGTCTGACATTATGTTGTATACCGTATTATCTCTAATATAAGCACGGTCTTTTATTTTTTCAATGTACCTCCGCCCCGTACTATTAATGGAGACGTTCCTTTATTGGAGACTGTTCCATTATTATTTCAACCTCATTTCAGAGGCATGTTGCCATGCCAAATTCATGTCAGACACACACATTTCAGGGTTTTTTTCGCCGGTACAGATAATGAATTTACACAGTGTGCTTCTAATGGAGACTGAGCACTTTATTCTTTGAATGCCGCCCCAAGGTGTTCTATTATTGGAGACGTGCTATTATTGGAGACTGTGCTTATATTAGAGATAATACGGTATATGTGTGTGTGTGTGTGTGTGTGTGTGTGTGTGCGTGCGCGTGTGCGTGTGTGTCCACGTGCGCTTTCCTGTGCAGGCTACGTTGCACCGTGGAGTGGACGTTTCTACTCGCTCTATGACACAAAGTAAGATTGTGCTGTCCACAGCTGTGTGATCATATGCCCCTCTGTGTGGTGTTAGTTTGCTTTCAGTTCTGTTCAAGTTAGTTAGCTCTCTCTCTCTGAGTTTCAATTCACCAACATTCACAAGAGGAGATTTAGGAGACGTAGCTGTGGGAGAGAATGATGAGAAAAAGAGAGAGAGAGAGAGAGAAATTAGATTGAACACACCGAAATTGGCGGATGTTAACCCTTTAAGAGCCACAGGAAAATTTCAAAATTCTGCATTTTTCGTGTTCCTTGGATCATAGCTTCAGTTCTACTCACTCAATCCTCACAATCTAGAGCTTCCTGGAAAGGTCTCCGTGAGAGGAAGAGAATGAGGGCGATCATGATAGCCAACACACTGTCTATCCAGCGCTAGATCGCAGCGACAGTACGAAAAATTCCCCAAATGCGTCCAATTGCGTCCCGCTCCAGATATTTCATTTTACTCGATTGTGGAGTTCCAATTTTTTCGCTGTGTACTCTTTACAATATCAACAGTGAAACGCGTGCAAATTCGAGTAAACCAGCGTGACGAAAAGTCTCAAAATTCTCAATACTAAAGTCGCACTGCGCGCTTTTGAAATTGCCGCGATCGCGGCTCAACTTACGAGTGATTTATCTCAGGAACCGTTGCTCGCAGCGCTTCGCGGATCGTTTCTCCCGACAGGTGAGAGTTTTCTCTTCGCCCTGGATATTTCGATCACTGGATTTGAGCGAGATTGGACTGAGTTACGATCTTTTGACGTTTTGCATTCAAGTATGGGGCGGCTCTTAGGGTTGGTTCACATATCGCCGGTACGCGCCGGGAGTCACCGGCGGTGGGCTTCTTGCAACCTCTCCCGGCGCATTGCGATTGTGTGAACCAGTGCAGTCGTAACAAAATCATACGGTAAAATATCGCAAGGGACCGCCGGCAAAGTCGGACAGTGCCCAACTCTTGCGATCTGCCCCGGCGCCGATCCCGTACGATTTTGACCAAAAGTGGTTTGTGAACCGTTCGCGCCGGTGATCGCCGGCTGCCGGGAGCCAGACTTTGTCAAAATATCAAACCAATACTTGTCCTAAATTTTCCTAAATTGAAGCTAGAGAGGAGGTCCATTCGCCATTCTTGTAGTCGCTTCAAGGCGGCAAATAAGTCAGGATAGCAGCCCGTCCTTCTCGGATGATCTGCTTGACCATTGTGCAACTTATGAGACAAATACAATTGAAACAAATATAAAATTATAATGGATACATTGGCAAGTTCTTGTGACTTCATCAACGTTTGCAAGCATAATTTCGACACAATCGCTTACTAGACTGCAATAAAATGTGTAGAAGTAGTTTCTTGATCTCCAGTAAAAGGTAGCACCGAGTGGCCATCACCGAAAGACCTTGAACTACTGAAGAAACAAAGAATTCAAGCTTCAATTGGCAAACCTGTCGTAGCATTTTGGCACATTCTGTACTACTTTGTAGTAGATTTGGTACTCGAACCGTAGGCGCAACGGATCGGGAGCTGGCTCACCGCCGATGTCTTGCGGCGCCGATTTTGCTTATGTGAACCAACCCTTAAAGGGCTGCTGGTTCCGTTGCCATGAATATCTTTTACTGTAACTGGTGTTCTGTGTGCCTGGGCGTGGATGAATTTACATGCGTGGTGCGTGTGTGTATGTGTGTGTGCGTGCGCGCACGTGTGTGCACGTGTGGTGTGTCGGAATGTGGCTCGCTTGTTTTCGTTCATTCTTCTTAGCTATGCCAAGATTCACATTCCCATCATCTCCAGTGTGGCCGAGCATCAGCCCACCACCTGGCTGGCGTTCTTCCGTGATCTGCATATCCTGGTCATTGCCTTCCCCGCCGGTGTCTGGCTATGCTTCCGCAAGCTGTCCGACGAGTGTGTCTTCGGTAAGATGCCCGATGCTTGCGCGGATCTGTGTGCAGACGAGATAATTTCCCACTGAGTGTGGATGACACTGGATTACTCTGAATTCAGAAATTTTAGTGGTTCAAAAGTTCACGTATGATGCCAAAATACCATGTTAGGTGAACAGAAATGTTAGGTACTTGTACAGAGAAGCGGTTGCCTATTGGATTATGCATCTATTGATTGCAACATCGTTGACATTGTTTTTTACCTTGTTAGCGGCTACAGTTGTATCGAGGTACCAATTTGAGGGTTGTGATAAAATCTGGTTCGTATACGGGGTGTCCCTGAATCTGTTCCCAGGTCGTGATTGCGGTGGAATGGGGTATTTGCCCTTTCCCTGTCCTGTGTGATGGCAAAGTGATGATGAAATTATCTGGTCCGTGTTGCTGACTTTCACTGATTGGAACCCATCAGATACTGAGCTTTGGCCACACGTTTTCCCTTTTTCTCTTTTTTCTACTTCTTTTTCTTTTCGTTAACCCTTAACAAGAGTCCATAACCCCCCAGAGTGTGCAACTCGTGATCCTTCTCAGCACAAATCAGTGCCGCAACGAAATCCAAACTTCATACGTCATGTAGTGAGTAGCTATGACGAAATGGGAAGTTTGGCCCGGACCTACTTCGCCCGTTTGCCCAATTTGGGGTCTTTCTTTACGAATCCACGGTCAGGTATTGTACGTAACACGCCTGGAAAGGCTCAAGTACACAAAGAATTATTTTAGAGTTGTCGAACAGTTTTCTCTTTTGAGTGTCTCTCCGATAAGAGAAGAACAATGGCCACTGTTGAACCTAAAGCAAAGCGCTCCCCATTGTCGCCGGAGTGCAGTGTCTCTGTGGACGATATTCGTCAGTTTTTGTTCTATCTGGGCTCCTCATTTTCTTCTCTCGATTGTCGAGTGTTGGAAATTGTTACTTCCAGCACCTGGATAGAGATTTATTGCTCGAAGTCTGTGCTTCTCACATGCAATGGAACACCCGTCAATTTGAACCGTCTGGTTGTGAACCCAGCAGGAACATTCACTGCAGGTTGAAGCACATCTACTTCGAAATCGATCGGGTCTTCATGCCGTGTGCCAAGAGCTATTTCCATCAAATCTTGTAAATCTATATCCATGCCTATTCTTGCTATCCCGGAGTCACGAACTCTCCCAATACAATACAAGCTTTTCAGACAACGAGCAGAGAAACTCTCTTCAAATAAAAAAATTCTGTGACTGTCGCGTACGCGACAGTGACTGTGAAATCAAAGCCGTTCTGCTGACACTGCATAGCCCGTGCGCGTGCAGCAAACGTTTTACGTGACACTTCCGTGGCTTGCTTCAAAGCAACCTTCAACTTGGAACCCCCGCCGGATGTACCAGATATGCACATGGGGATATGGCCCCATCCGCCCATGCTTGCCCGGGGACCGGATGACGCAATGTTTGGATTTCGTTGCGCCAGACCCCAACCTGGAGTTGCACACTCTGGGGGGTTATGGACTCTTGCCCTTAACTATCCTTCAAGGACCTTTATAGAGGTGCGCTGTCTAAATACAGCATGTGTATGCAGTTGTGCTAGCTGAAGTTCAAAAACCAAAGTGCATATGCCCTGGATATGCGCATGTTGAAATGGCACCGATGTACTATGGGAACTAATGCAGGATGCCAACCTTGCATATTGGGTTGGATTTCAGTTACTGGATTTCACCGCGGGCAACTGTGCATGAAAAGCGTGTGTCATGTTTACTGAACACAGGGCTCAGTGCTGATAAATCCCTGATGGTGGTTCGTATCAGCTTTGCTGAACAGTGTTGGTAGGGATGGCAGCCATATGCCTGCATCGCGTGGTGTACTTTCCCCTGATCCTACACTTTAGGCAAGGTAGAGGAGGGGGTGGGGGGTGGGGTGACATACTGCGAACAAGCACAAAGCAATGGAAAAGAGCTTCCTCCTACACATTCAGCCGAGTGAAGTGATGAAGAACTTGCCCAAAGTGTTTTGTGCCATTGCCATAGCTAATTTCTTGCCTCTACTTTTGACTGTCTGTTCGCTTGTACCTGTGCTTGTGCTTTCCGTGCGTGTAGTTCTGATCTATGCTGTGACGGCATCGTACTTCTCCGGTGTCATGGTGCGTCTCATCTTGACACTGACACCCATCGTGTGCGTGATGGCAGCCATTGCCATGTCCTCCGTGCTGGAGAAGCAGATGGGCAGCAAGGTGCTGGAGCTCGACTCCATCTACACGCATACGACCACGTCCGACGCCTACAACATCCTCACCGAGGATAAGTCCACCAAGGTACAGTGCGAGTAGATGTTGGCGTGTGTGTGTTGGAAGAGTTGCCTAGCTCTGATGTTCAGTGCAGCCAGTGGTATTACATACTTTGGCAGGTGTGCACAATGTGCAGTACAGACTGGAGAGCTCCTGATCACAAGAAATGCCGAAAAATCAGTCATAAGAACTACCTATTTGTCAGAACAAGAGTAGATAAACAAGAGTGTGCAACTCCGGATCTCTTCTGCACAATCTGCAGATACCCCCGCCCGCGGCGGATTTTTTTGTTGACGTCACCTTTTTTTTCTTTCAGAAAAACGTGCATTTTGCCGCAGAGCAGTGTGAGAGCACGTGCTAGGCACCGACCTTGTTATGTAAAGCCCGGCCAAGTGCACGAGGCACAACTTTCCGAAAGACTTGCAGCGCGTGCGTCGTCGAAAAGATTACGTCAAAAAAATTCCGTCGCGGGCCAACCCATCCCGGAGTTGCACACTTTTGTTTATCTACTCTTGGTCAGAAGTATTGTGTGTGCCCCCTGTTATTCCCCATCTAATGTTCTTTCCGAGCTTGGCAAATCCATTTTGACGTGTGGGATAACTGTCCCTGTCCTTCAGTGTGTTTGCTGAGGTACGATCTGTCACGGAAGCATGACAACTGGCTAGGATCCAGCAGTTCGAATCGGTGGACATCCCGACGAAATCATTTGAGGGGGAGTTACTGATGCATATTTGGTGGAGTTGCAGTACATACCCTTTCGGACTAGTTCAGTAGAAACATTCCGGGTGGTGAATACTGACCGCATTGTTGGTGTAGTCAAGGGGTTTAACTTCTGCATTCTTCTCTACCGTGTGCTGTGTTCAGGCCAGTGCTAAGGCTGGACGTCGTAAGCAGCAGAAGGAACGCCAACAAAAGGAACCGGAACCCGAGCCAGAGGCCGAGGAGAAGACCACCACCAGCACCAGCAGCGCACCCGAGAAGCAGGCCAAGCGCGGCAATGTCGTGTTCCGCTACGGCGTGGTCGCCCTGCTCTGCGTCTTCCTGGGAATGTTTGCCGTCCATTGCACGTGGACAACGAGCTATATGTACAGTGGACCCTCTGTTATTCTCGAGTCTTCAAACTCTGATGGGTAAGACATGCCCAGGAATAACTCTCTTAGTTTGATGTTTGCGTGTGTGTAGGGACTGTAGCAAGCAGTATTATCCACGAGATAGTCAAGTCGGCGGAAAAGCGCCTGGTTCGGTGTGGGGAGCAACCAACTTTCTAGTAAATGTACTAGTATTCCTCAATCTGCGTACTTTCCAGTATTATACCGTTGTAATTGGGGTTGAGAAGCAGTTTGAGAATGCTTGTCTGAGCAGTGAGCACCCCAGTCCACGATAGAATACGGAATGCACACTGTTGTCAGATTTGTCGACGATTGTTCGACTTCCCGGTGCGAAAATATCAGCAGAATGTGCTGCGTTCTCACAGCGTACTGGGCAAAGTACGTGCCTGTGCATAGCTCTGAAACCATAACTTTCCCAGAAAAGCACATTGTTGATGTGTCGAGCAGAGTGGCGCAGCGGAAGCGTGCTGGGCCCATAACCCAGAGGTCGATGGATCGAAACCATCCTCTGCTACTTTTTTTTTTTTTTTTTTTTTTTTTTTTTTTTTTTTTTTTTTTTGTCCCCAGCGTGGACTTCGATGCGTGTGAAGGAGGGTGCACCGATGTGTCATCTCTTCTTCCTTTTTTATTTTTTTTCTTCCTTTTTTCCTTTTGTATCATTTTGCTTTTGGTATGGGTTGTGTGTTATCAATGGGTTGTTGTTATTTGCTGATGCTATGCATGCATGCGTGTATACGTGTATGTGTACGTGTATTTATATGTGGTCTGTGCAGATCACGTCGCATTCTGGATGATTTCCGTGAGGGCTACTTCTGGCTGCGTCAGAACACTCACCCGCAGGCCAGGTAGGACTGGGAAATGTGTTCCTGTTGGCAGCATTGCGCAATGAACTGCACACCAATATAAAGAGCTGCTCATTGAAAAATGCAGTACAGTACATGTATATTTCATGTGCATACATCTTGTCTTTTTTCCCCCGGTAAACTGTGAAAACCGATGGTTCCACCGTATGCGTGTTTTGCATCACACTGATAAATGTGAAGGTTGCTTAGAGCATGGTGTACTGTGTGTACGTGTGTGCGTGTGTATGTGTGTGTATGCGTACGTGTGTGTGTGTGTGTGTGTGTGTGTGTGTATGCGCGTGTGTGTGTGTGTGTGTTTGTGTGTGTGTGCGTGTGTGCGCGCGTGTGGTCAATTCTTCAGCCTTGCAAGCTGTTGAGTGGTGTAATCCCGGCACAAGTTGCTATGTCTAAACATAGCTGTTGGCTATCATCGCTTCTGCGATGGGCATGTCTGAGGTCTGAGTGTGTGTATGTATGTGTGTACAAACACAGGATCATGTCCTGGTGGGACTATGGCTATCAGATAGCAGGCTTTGCCAATCGTACCACGTTAGTGGACAACAACACCTGGAACAACAGCCACATTGCTATGGTAAGAGAGAAACTCACAGCTATCCAGGTGTTCGCCCAAACTTCTCCTATCCCTCCAGGCGAGTTTGCTGTCATTAGAGTATTGCACAAATGCAAACACCCTGTCCCCGTGTAACTAGTTATGTGGAGTATGCGTGTGTGTGTGTGTGGGGGGGGGGGGGGGGGGGGGGGAGAGGGGGGGGGGGGATGTGTCCGCTAAAGGTAGTTGCCTTGGTTGCAATACCCGGTCATTAGCTACAATAGAGCTTGGTTAATTATCTGTAAGATGAATGGCAGACAACTGGGACAGAGAATCGGTGTCTTTGATGTGTGTGCATGAGTGTATTGCAGTGCAGTCCGTCACACAGTGTGTAATAGAGTTTCACTGTAGCCCACACACCCATACCTACTTGTACTGATGCGCACGCCCAGGCTGATTGGTTTCATGTCATGTTGCATGTGGTGTTACTGTTACTGCTCTCTTTCTCACTCAGGTGGGCAAGGCGATGTCGAGTAACGAATCAGCAGCTTACGAGATAATGCGCTCACTTGATGTAGACTACGTACTGGTAATCTTCGGTGGACAGATTGGCTATAGTGGAGATGATATCAACAAGTTCCTCTGGATGGTGCGCATTGCCGAGGGTGAACATCCCAAGGAAATCAGGGTATGTGTGTGTCTATTGTGTGTGTGTGTGTGTGGGGGGGGGGGGGCATTTCTGTGTGTGTTTGTGTGTGTGTCCGTGTGTGCGTGCGTGTGTATGTCCGTGTGTGTGTGTGTGGGGGGGGGGGTGCATTTGTGTGTGTGTGCGTGCCTGTGTGTGTGTGTGTGTGTGTGTGTGTGTGCGTGCGTGCGTGCGTGTGTGTGTGCGTGCGTGTGTGCGTGTGTGTGTGTGTGTGTGCGTGCGTTGGCACACTGTACTTGTACTTAACCCTAGCCTATCTATTCTTCAGTGGAGGCCCGTCCGACACTACTGTCTGCCCACTCTGAACCTTTCTTAACCACTCTAATCTACAGTCCTGGCCGAAGAAATCCGAGGTCCGCAGCGGCCGCATGAGCCTTGGCGCTGCTTTCGGCACTTGTGTCGTATTTCTTTGACCACCACTGTATACACAGTAAAACAATGTCCAAAGCTGACAGATCATGGCACGTCACAACGGTGGCCCCTGCATGCACATGGTCTCCTTATCCAAGATCATTTGACATTTGACTGTAAATAACATCCCTCGGTCCTGATTGGAGTGGTGCCCTGGGACAGTTGATCGCCGTATCAGAGTGATCACGTCGACACAATGTGTCATTGTACTGCAGTCTCAATATCCAGCACCAGTTGACTCATACATGTATTGCCAGTTTGTTTTCTCATCTTGTGCTTCTTAACTTTCCTGTGTTGTGTTGGTGAGCAGGAGCCCGACTACTTTGCCGACGGTCAGTTCCGTGTGGACTCCGGTGGCTCCAAGACACTGCTCAACTGCCTGATGTACAAGCTATGCTACTATCGATTTGGCGAAGTGCAGGTGAGCGTGCGTGTGGTGCATGCCCGTGATCATACCGCAATGCTTCAGTTATGAGCCGCAATCATTGGTGACTGACTTTCAGCATGCTAAGCTCTATTGTGTTCTGGGTGTATTGTGAGGGACGTTTTGGTGGATTTGGCCTTTGTTCTGGTCAGCCTCTCATTTGCACATGCACCATACAGTGTTTGCTGATTGTGATCAGTTTGTCTCGCTCAGCCTGTTCGTTTTCAATCAAATTTCTACTGCACCGTTGCGAATTGAGTGTGTAATTTCAGTCCCATGTTTTTTTTGCGACAATTATCTGTGAACATATGACTGCCTGCAATATGGCTGTGTCGGTCAATGCTTGGTGCAGTGGCCACGTGTAACTGTTGTATCCATGACCTAGACGCGATTCCATTATGCAACTAGACTCAAGCACGAGCAGTGATTATAATGATTATTCCAGGTCAACTTACCAGTTGTCTGATGATTGCTTTAGCGTGGGACTTTGTTCCACTTCGACCCTCTCTCTTCCACATGTATTCATGTACCTGTGTGTGCCTTTGTCTATGCTTGTCATTCATGCTCTTGTTTTCCTTGCTCCCTGGCTGTGTGCAGCATGGCTGGAACTCACCACGTGGCTATGACCACACTCGCAATGTCGAGATTGGTCACAAGGACTTTGAGCTCACTCACCTGGAGGAGGCGTTCACCTCCGAGCACTGGCTTGTCCGTATCTACAAGTAAGTCAACAGCTACACCTGCTCTTCCCCCCCCCCCCCCTCCTGTACTGGTGATATCAGGTCAGCAGCTACACCTCCCCCCCCCCCCCCCCCCTCCTGTACTGGTGCTATCAGGTCAGCAGCTACACCTTTTCACCCCCCCCCCCCCCCCCTCCTGTACTGGTGCTATCAGGTCAGCAGCTACACCTTTTCACCCCCCCCCCCCCCTCCCCCCGCCTGTACTAGTGCCAAGTCAGTGGCTACACATCCAATCCACCTCACATGCTCACACGTATTTGTGCGGTCGGTCGTACAGTCACATACTCATACATACTGGTGCGTTCGGCTGTACATACTACTGTAAATATACAAAATTTCGGCATTTCACGATTTTTGACATTTCGGCGGCCATTTATTTTCGGCGTGGGGTAGAGGGCACAGTATAGTGCGACAGATGCTGTGAAAAATTTCATCGGCGTTTTAATTTAGGCGTATTGGGTCGGTGCCGAATATAGCCGAAATTAAATAGCTGCCGAAAATTTGTATATTTACAGTACTTATTAGTACTACTATGGTATTAGATAACCCAATACACGGTGTCCTCCACCTTGTTTCATGCTGTCAAACCAACAATACTACTACTGGTATACTATTGGAACACCCATGTCAAGCACAGGGGTGGCATGCGCTGATATATACCGGGCGGAGCGTATTCCACCTTTCCCTTTCCCGTGTGATGCCAAACATGCCCAAAGCGATGATGAAATTATCTGGTCCGTGTTGCTGACTTTCACTGATTGGAACCCATCAGATACTGAGCTTTGGTGTCATACTCCGTGATGCACAGTGTTCAGTAGAAACGGTACCCCTCCACTGGATATTGTAGCATGCTACTCACATTCCTATTTCCTACCCCGGTGTCAAAGCTACTCATGCACCAGCCACCTCCCTATGGAATACATGTGCAGTGCTGCTCAATGTATTCTAGCCGTGTCACTCAAGCTTGCGTCTTGCATCATTTCGCAGCCCAGTGTTCACAGGTCTAGGACTGCGCAACACCTGGTGGGTACTGGAGTGTCGCGACTGGATTTCATTGAGTAGCACTGTAGTACATGGTATGTGTGCTGTGTAAGTGAATGATGCTGTTGTAACAGGCCAGTCCAAACACTGCTATAGCACACAGCAAGGAAACGAGCAAGTGCATTTCCGTGACGCTTCGTGTGTGTGTGTCTGTGCATGCCGCTTTGCGTGTATGTATGCATGTGTGTGTCTGGCTGTCTCTCTGTGCATCCGTGCATGCGTATGCGTGCGTGTGTATGTGTGTGTGTATGTATGTGCGTGCGTGCATGTCTGTATCTGTGTGTCTATATGACATGTACAGGGTAAAGGATCTTGTTAACCGTGAGAAGTCCGGCCTGTCAGCACGCAAGACCAACCGCAAGAACCTGCCTCGTGTCAAGAGAGTCAAGGTAAGATTGTCAGCAAAGCTAACTAGCAAGAATGTATGCAAGCGGCTACATGTACTGTGTACCTGAATTGTGCAGCCATTCAGCAAGCTGGAGTGCCTCCCCGTACGTGTAGAAGTAGTTCCTTGCTACTGTTATCTCGTCTGTTTGCTCATTTCTGCTTTGTGTTTGTGGTGCCTGCTTTCTTGCTGTGTGTGTGTTTCACCAATGCTAGACTTCTGGTCGTCCCCGTGGCAATGTCAAGGACAAGCTCTCGTTGAAGAAGGGTAAGGCGGTCAAGAAGAGGACCGGTGGCAGCGCCAAGAAAGCCACCAAGGCCAAGAAGAAGTAAGCGATGCGATGTTGAGCACAACACTGCAGTACACTGGAGCCAGCCAGCCAGCTAGCCAGCTAGCTAGCACCAACGAGTAGTGTTGGCAGCCATTGCTGCCGTCGGTCCAGCGCCAGTTGCCGTCGGTCCAGTGCCAGTTGCTGTCGGTCCAGTGCCAGTTGCTCTCTTTCACCGCTTTCGCTTCTCTCTGTCTCTCTTTTCCATTCGTATTGTGTGTGTGTGTGTGTGTGTGTGTGGCGAGCAGTTTGTAGTGGATTAGCCCATAGCCATCAGTCACACCTCATCATCATCGTTGTTGTGTTCTGTGCTGCTGCTGCTACTCTCACAGCCAATTTCCTTTGAGATTAGCTGTCTAACCTGGAAGCGTCACAGGGAGGTTTCTGCCATCTTTATTTCTGGCTGGATCACCTCTCCGGAGTTGTAGCTTCCATTGAAACGTTTGGGTGGGTGTGGTGTGCACTCACAGACACACATAACATATACACTGATTTCATTCAAAATTCATTTGTCACTTATTCCAACTGTTGCTTCGTTTTGTCTCATTCCTTGAAACCATGTACAACCTCCACCATGTAAAATAACCAATTGTAACAAGAACGAAAGCAACTGAATGTTTGATTGGGGACAATAAAAAAAGTGTGAATAAATATCAGGCGAGGCCTGGGACTAACAGAAAATTTATCCAAATTTGCCGAAAATAAAGTCGCATGCGATTCAAGTGTGCCTATTATGCATGATGATGCTCGGCGGCTTCGGGGAGCATCTTGACATGCGAATATAAAAATAATAATGGAATGCATGTACATTACAGCAAGTTGAAATTCAAGCGTAGAATGGTAGTCTAATTTGGTTAGAAATCAAGTCCTTTCTGGAAAGAAGATAGGGAAAGCAATAGTAAATTACATGAAAGGGATACGAAAATAGCTAGGGTTAGAGTTGGTGGATGTTCTGAACGACTAGCGGTTTAATAGTCGCACGTAATCGTTTCTACAATGTGCTACACCGTGGTGCATCGTAGTGCACGGTCGGATCATTGTGAACTGCTGCTGCTGGGCAGTGTGGACTCCACACTAGTCTTGTTGGTGGCAGTAGCTCACCGCTGCTGTTGACATTGCTAATGGATGTGCGTGTATGGCCTTTCTGCTCCTGCCACCGCCAGCGGATCGTAGCAGTTATACGAATGGCTGCGCTGCTGCTGCTGGTGGTGGTGGTGGTGGTGGTGGTGTTTCAGCGTCCCTTGGGTAGTCTTGTGCTGGATTGCTGTTTCTGCTCGCTGATGGTGGAGAGGTAGTGACCGTACTCCAGTGCAGCCTGTATGCAGTCATGCACGCACGGGGGCAGGGGTATAAGAGGACAATTGCAAACACTAATCAGTCGAGAGGAATATTGTGGGTTTGTACCCTCCTTTGCAATGAACTAAAACTTAGATTTAGAGAGCGAAGAAAAATTAGAATATGTATAGAAAGTCGTGAAGAAGGAAATCAGCAGCATGCACGCCACACAAGTAGCCTGGGTACATTTAAGCTTACCTGATAAATGAACTTGTACTGGTCTTTGGTCTGCACCATGCCCCCACGGTCCTGTCTGACCATGGCGAATGAGCGGTAGATGTCGCAGTGTCGGTCATGCTCCAGCTCTTGCATGCAAATATCCAGTACGATGACCGTGCCAGTACGACCAATGCCAGCACTACACGCAGCAGTCAAGCACATTTACAGCAGCCACAGCAGCAGGAAGAGCAGACTTTAATACAGGAGAGAAATATTATTGTCAGAAAATTGTTCATCAAGAGGGGTAAGTAGCAGCATTCCGCCTTGTCCAGATTCTTATCAACCACCACACCACACCGCTTGTTCAGTATAAGGTATACAAGCGTTTCGGAGACAGCAGTATAGGAAATGCTTACAGTTCAATTACTCCTCCTTGTAGCTATAAGGTATACCCTGCATATAAAGTACTGTTTTTTGTGGACACTGCATTATGCTGTAACGAACATTGACATCCGTTGAGAAGTCAAGCGGCCACGGGAATCTGGCCTTGCAGCCGCGAGTACTGCTGGTCCACTTTTCCAGTGTGTACTGTGAACTACTGTAAAAGCCTTATACATAACGAAGTGCTAAATCTAACGAGGATAAATCTGTCGTTGCAATATAAAACGTTATACAGAAATCGATACTGTTGCTAGTGAGTGTTGAGAATGAGTGAGAATCGTTACATTTTTGTAAGCGTAAACTGATAAGATTTAGGAAATTTATCGTCCTGTTTGCGGCTCGTTAAAATAATGACTTTTACAGTATGCCGGTAATCGGACACCTTGGAAACACAATGCATTGGCTATAATACTGTGCAGCTTTTCATACCCTTGCGCGTATCTTAAACTGAACTGTTTCACTACACACGAATGTGCTGCTGTGTATGCGTTATCTTACCTGCAATGGACGACGATGGGTCCCTCGGAGACACGCATGGCATTCTTCACCTTGGTCAGGTAGACGAGCAGAGCTTTCGGTGACGCTGGCACGCCAAAGTCGGGCCAGGCTGTGAACCACCAGTGAGCAATCTCGCGTGTTTCTCCTTTCTGCAAACGCACACGACAGCGGAAGCAGCAAATACAATCACGACCACACATTGACACAAACAAATCACCATCACCCGAGGCTTATCTATATCTTCAACACAAAGACGATGACACGGAAACAAAAAAAAGAGAAAAAAGCTAAGCTCCTACGTTGCCACACACACCTGAATAGAAGCTGTCAGTATGTCACTGCTATTGTTATGTTGTCTATTTTACTTGACCATAGGTACAGGAATTGCTGCTTTATTGCTGTGCTGCCACAGCTCCTAGCCTATGATGATATGTTCACCACTGTTTATACGCACACGCACGCACACACACACACAGACACACACACACACGCACACACGCACCTGTACGTTGGTGACCCAGAGTTTGGAGACGACGTAGTCCTGTTTGGTGGTCTTCTCCTTGAGCATGACCTCCATATCTTCATAGATCCCCAGGTTGTCACTCTCGTCCATAGGCCAGTACTTGGCACACTTGGTCTGCACAACAACAACAACAGCAGCAGCAGCAGCAGCAGCAGCAGCAGCAGCAGCAGCAGCAGCAGCAGCAGCAGCAGCAGCAGCAGCAGCAGCAGCAACAGCAACAGCAACAGCAGCAGCAACAGCAGCAGCAACAGCAGCAGCAGCAACAGCAACAACAACAACCATACACATATACACACACACGAATGTCAACACCACAAAGCAACACACACGCACGCACGCACACACACGGACACACACACACACGCACACACACACACACACACACGTACGCACACACGCACGCACGCACACACATGGACACACACACGCACACACACAGGAATGAACACCAAACAAATAGAAACCCAAAGAGCAATTCAAGCACACACCACAGTACACAAGAACAAAGGTAAGAGAGGATGGAAGAATGGAGGACAGACAGTGAACGGGAAAGAGGTTGCTTGCCGAGACCAGCGTTCCAGGCCTTCTTCTAGACTTGACTGCATCCATCTTGCTGGTTACCGTGCTTTGCTGCTGCACACCAGTACTTGCGTTGACTAACTGGCTAGCTATGGTAGCTTGCATGCTAGTTATACCCGGATTGCACAGGCTGTGTGTCCATTCAACACGTCACAGCCTCTGAAGTGTGAATATTATCACGGGTGGGTCATAAATGTAGCTCACCGGCAGTGTACTACTCACAGAGATTTACTTTGGAGCAGCTGCACAGCATTCAAGCTGCGTGCTAGTGATGTGGTGTGGAGCCAGGGAGGTGTGGAGCTGCGGAGGTGTCGCAGTGGCGCCAGGGAGGTGTGGAGCCAGGGAGGTGTGGAGCCAGGGAGGTGTGGAGCCAGGGAGGTGTGGAGCCAGGGAGGTGTGGAGTAAGGGAGGTGTGGAGCCAGGGAGGTGTGGAGTCAGGGAGGTGTAGAGCCAAGGAGGTATGGAGCCAGGGAGGTGTGGAGCTACGGAGGTGCGGAGCCAGGGAGGTGTGGAGCCAGGGAGGTGTGGAGCTACGTAGGTGTGTATTAGGCATAACGTGACTTTGCAACCAATGTCCCGACACACAGAGTGCTAGACAACACACTGCGCACTCACTGCTAAGGGCGTGAAAGAAGGCGATCACTTGCCAGCTTGCTCGAACAAGGCACACAAACACAGCCCGTTTGCTGTGAAATTCGCATCATTTCTCTAGTGTGAGATTCACTCCCCCCCCCCTCCCACCTGTCTTTGTATGAGTGATTATAGCAGCAAGCACCCAGAGGTCATACATTCGAATCGTCATGAGGTGGTGCTATTATAAATTTCGTCACACTATGATCCGCACACTATGTGCAGGTTTGCCAGTTTCAAACCGGGTGTGCATCAATCTGAGAAGGCCAGCAGCAGAGAAGGCCAGCAGCAGCAGCAGCATCACTGCAAATCACTAGAATGTAAAGTGCTACTCAATGAAATCCAGTCGCATCGCCACTCAAGTACGTGCGGGGCGTCGCGCAGCCCTACACCTGCGAACACTGGACTGCGAAATCATGCAAGGCGCAAACTTGAGTGACGACGCGGCTGGCTTTCATTGATCAGCACCGTGGTACAGCAGTGATACTGGCAGTTAGGACTCACCACTCCTCTCTCCTCTTGACCGGTGACCATGAGAATGACTGAGGCACGTTGCTCCCACACCATTCTCCAGAAATCATGTATGGTCGAGTACATGGGACCCTGTGTGGCTATGTACTTCTTTGTGTTGCCACCATAGCCCTGCGGTGCAGTACGGAAATTAACACACACACATACACACATACACAGCCACACGCGCGTGCACACGCACGCACGTGCACACACACGCACGCACACACGCCCACACACACACACGCATGAACACAACAATCCTTAAACAATTTAATAATATAACTTTCAAACTTTCACATGTACACGTGCACATCCGGATTTGCACATGCAGTACGAACGTTGGGTGTTGGGTGAATGTTGGGTGAATGTTGGGTGAATGTTGGGTGACTTCAGTGCCTGTGTGCGCTGGAGTATGTGCGCGTCGGAGTATGTGTGTGTGTGTGTGTGTGTGTGTATGAGCGGTAACTTACTCTGATGTAGTTGCCGTTGATGTAGTCGGAGTTTGGCTCATTGAACTTGAGACGCAGTGGCACACGGGTGTGAGGATCTGCAGGTACAGCACGAAAACAAATACTCTAATTTCAGAAATTTTCAGTGCTCAATATTTTCGGTATGAGGGCAAAAGGCCAGGTTAGGTGAACAGAAATTTTAGGTACAGAGAAGCAGTTCCCTATTGGTTTACGTGTGTTAGTGTTTGTTCGGTGTATTGAAATTTTAGGTATGAAACAGACGCACCGAAAGTACCGAAAATAAAAGTGCACCGAAAATTTGTGAAATTACAGTATACATCCAACATTGCAACACTCCCATTGGAGAGAGAGAGAGAGAGAGAGAGAGAGAGAGAGAGAGAGAGGAAGAGGAGGGGGGGGGGGGGGGGGGGGGAGAGGCACCTATGATCTATTGTGCCACTGTGCTCCGGCCTAAATTAAAATGTCACGGTTCGCGTGAGACTCGGCTGGAAGCCGAGCTTTCCGCATGCGTAGGAACGCCACCACCCTTCAAGGATCAAGGCGCAGATAAAGCGGTGGGAGGTGAGTAGATCAGCTCACCAGCAAGTGGTCAAAGACCAAAAATCCCATTCGCTGCATCCATGTTTTCCTCGTGCCAGGCCACGAGTTCCCAATTAACTGTGGGTCGCAGCATGGCTGGAAAAATCCTTCCGCTTCCAAGCAGGA